GAAAGGATCTGAACAGAGGAGACAAATAGAGGTATGAGAGGTTTGTGGTTGTTTGTTTGTTTGTTTGTTTGTTTGTTTGTTTGTTTTAAAGATTTTATTTATTTATTTAGAGACAGGGGAAGAGAGGAAGAGTAACATCAATGTGTGGTTGCCTCTCACATGGCCCCCACTGGGGACCTGGCCTGCAACCCAGGCATGTGCCCTGACTGGGAATCGAACCAGCGACTCTTTTGTTCACAGCCTGAGCTCAATCAACTGAGCTACACCAGCCAGAGTTTTTTGTTTTTTATGTGACCTGGTATATTTTTCTAAAGCACATGCTGAGGCTCCAAACACAGTAGGACAGAACATTCAGAAAATCTTGAATATAGCCCTTTAAAGAGGTAAATCAAAGATCGTGTCATTTTTATTTGCCTACCTAGAAGCCTAAAACTTTTCTAATTCATGTTAAGATAGTGTATTCATCCTTGGTTAGTTTAGCAGTAAATATGTATTTATTATTGTTTAAATGAGTTATAAATAAAATATTTTTTCTACAGTGTCAATTTATAATAACTTCATATTGTGGCATGTATTCCATTTGTGTTTAGTTTCATATTTATGGCATCTACTCTTAATCCTACCACCTTTTCCCCCTCCCCTCCAAGCAGCTATGGCTTGGCCTCCATAATATTACTATCAATGAAATTTTTCATGAGGAAAAGAAATTCTTACTATGGAATAAAACAGGATTTTTAAAAACTGGATTTTAATTACCTCCTATTCTAGTTACTGGATTGTTGTGCCAAGCCAGGTAGCCCCTAAGGGAATATAAATTTAGGCGAAGTGGCCAAGGGATCAACAAGTGTTGCAGGGGAAGAGAGGGGGGAAAAAACTTTATCTTGGCTCTAAATTACTGAGCCCTGATATTTCTTTAGTTTCTTAATTGTTTCCCCAGTGTTTCTCTTTTTTCTTTTTTCTCTTTGGCCCTGAACTTTTCTTAGATCTTTGCCTGCATTAACATGCTTCAACTTTTGTAAGCCTAACTTAGAATTTATACTATCCCAATTATATAAACTTTTCACTGAATTTATTAATTCTAATGCTTACCATTTATCACTCCTATACTTTGTTTCCCACATATTGTCTTCTCACATTATTTACTTTAGCAAAATTAAAACACATATTATTGAAGAAGAGTGAAAATTATTTTTAGCTACTCGGAGGTTAGTAGTAGAGCTCCTTTTTCTTTGCATATATTTATAGGTTCCAGAGAGCCATTTAAGCTCTTAATTTGCCACAAATGCTAGTCCATACCCACCTAAGTCAGTAAGACAGGTGTTATTCCTTTTATTATATGGATGAGAAAAACTGAGACTTTGAGACATTGCATGAATTAGATAAGCCAGTGACAGGATTCATAGAAATTTGGAGCAGGAAAAAACCTAATGAAAAAAATTTTTTTTTTATTTTAATTGTTCAAGTATAGTTTTCTGCCTTTTACTCCCATCCCAGCCCACCCCCCTAATGAAAACTTTACTTTGAGAAATTTAAGGTCCATCTATTAAGAGTAATTTTTCTGAGATCACCAAACTAATTAAGTTGTAAGCTAGAACTCAAATTTCCTAACTCCTAATACAGTAGTACTTTTTTCTTTTTTCAAGGTAAAAAGCTGTTACAGGACAAATGGTAGTGTGTATTTTAATTTTGGTTGGAGATGGAAAAGAAGCATACAATGTAGCTGCCATATTAGTTCTCATACAAGTTGGTCATGTAAGAGATAAAATGCATTCATATATTTATTGCATTTCTTTTCTGTGATTTAAAAATTAAGTTGATCCGTGACTGTTGTGACTTAGTGGATTGACCTCTGGCCTGCAAACCAAAGGGTTACTGGTTTGATACCCAGTCAGGGCACATGCCTGGCTTACCTGCCCAGTTCCCCAGTTGGGGGAATTTGATGTTTCTCTCCCTCTTTCCCTCCCTCCCTTCCCTTCTCTCTAAAAATAAATAAAATCTCTCCAAAACAAATTGAGAGTAATAATCATACCCAAAAAAACCTTTTAATATTATCCCCTCCTCCTTTTTACCATTTTGTAAATTTCATTCAAAAGAAGAAAATTAAAGTATAGAAATTTAAGAATAAATTCAACTTACATATATAACAAAATTTGAGTAATTGCTGGGTTCAAAACTGGAATCTTAAAGTTAATGACTTATCTTTTAACCCTAATTAAAATTTTTTTTCTGGCATGTTTTTTTATCTTCTCCTTAACCAAGTTAAATTTACTCATTTGTGGACCTATTAAAGAACTTTATGGCCTCAGAATTACTCTGTATGTCTGTTAATTTTCATTATTTAATAGTTTAAATATATAGGTAAGTTGGGCTGAATGTATTGATTTCAGTAGCTATTTTAGACGCTTGTTTCTAGTGAATGTCAGTCTGAGGGTTATTGTTTAAGGGAAGAAATTGGGTAGTTGTGCTTAGTTGGAGTTTAGAGAACTGAGGTTCGTTTTATGCAGAGCCTTTCAGTTTGTGAGGAGAAAAAAGTCCTAATTTTGTAACAATGCTGTGTGAACCTGCATTGAAAAAGAAACCAGGCCTAGGAAATGAAGAATCTAGGGAGGATTTTTAAATTGAGTATATTTTTAAGCTGGATTCTAAAATAGTAAGTCATGGCTAAAAGGGTGAAAATAGTTACCCTCTTATAAGATCTGAAGTAATATTGTTGCCTTTGAGGAAAGTAGGCATTGCGGTGTGATATTACTCAGTCTACTTTTTATGTCAGCCTAAGCAAGAAGGTATTTGCACTTTTTCTTTAAAGACATGCCTATTTGTAACAGTTTCACATAATTTCGCAATGTCTATAAAATAACCTTTCTGGCCCTGGATTACTGAGTGTGCATATTTGTCCTTATTTTGAAATCTCCTAACTTGGCCCCAGATTCCAGAGTGATTTTCATATTTAAGGAAGCCATTACCTCCCAAAAGGTTTTCTTAGAAGAGTGAGGAAAATAAGTGTAAAATATCAGTGTGAATGAATACCTTGCTGTTAATATGCTTGGGGAATTATATTCACAGTAAAACTTGTCTCAGTGTTCTGTTAAAATTTAATGATGGATGATAGGTATTATAAAGCCAAAGGAATTGGAAGACGGGGACATTTTGAGAAAACGGCTTATTTGTGTATATATTTATATTTTTTAATTTTTTTTTTAATTTTTTTTTTCTGTTTTGTCAGAGACCAAAATTGAGGAAGAGATTTGGCTTTCTTTTGGTTTGTGAAGTTGATCAGCGATTGCTCCTTGGCTAAGTTGCTGTCTGCCTAGGCTGTTAACAATTGTTTCTCTGGCAGCAGATCTTGTTCATCGGGATTGCATCATTTCTGGGAGAATGGCCAAGGTCCACAGCCTCAGTACAAAGACTGTCTGAAGCATATGAGGCCTGTTCTCTTTCTGAAGCGGCACTCCTCTTCCTGCCAGTCCTCTTCACATGATTACTGAAGCAGGCTTGTTCTGAATTTCTTTCATTGGATTGGCTGTTTATTGGACTCTTGTCTCCCAGCTGCTTCCGGCTCACCTGGCTGATGCAATTTCTCTTTCTGAAATCTCTGTTGGAATTGTTCTTAAAACACTGTCTGTCTTCTGAGAGTGACCAGGCAGATCACATGGGGCTTGTGCTTTCAGCAAGTCATAGAGAAGAGACTGTCAGAATGACAAAAACAGACTATTGACCATTTCTGAACTCAATCTTAAAAAGACAGGGGGTAATTATAAACTATTTCTGGCATGTTCTATTTAATGGTCTTTGCCTAAGAAACTATGTAAATGGTGACTTCTCAAAAGAGTACTCGGTATTAGGAGACAGGCTGGTGGTCCTGCTTCTGAATCTGAGAACAATACTAGTGTTTTTGTGGATTCCGATGGATTGTTCTGGAGATACTTAAATTTGAAATAAAATTAAAATTCTGATACATTCGTTTCCCCCCCCCCATTGTACATTCCTACTTATTTGTTCTTTCTGTCATTTCTTATATTTCTTAATTGTTGCTGCTAAAAGAATCTACGTCTCTTGATTTAATTTTTTCTTTCTTGTACTGTTAACCTTTATTCTTTTATAATTCCTAATATGCTCTTTGTGAATTGTTTTGAAAGAATAGTTCATTTTCCAACTTTCAATCAGTTGGAGATTAATAAAATATCAACATAATGTACATTTCCTCTCCTTAGTCACTGAAATGACATATGAACAGCTCATTCACCTATATGATGTATTAACAGTTCAGGTGTTAACACCTCATTCTGGCTGGTGTTGAATTGCACTTTCTTCTCCCAAAAGTCCTAGGTCATCACCCATTTTTCTGTCCTTTTTTGGAGGGTAGAAAGTTGATAAAGGCTTTATTTTTTCACATATTTCTGTTAGGGTGTTGACCACAAAAAGAAATGTGTCCCTTTTTGCCGGTCTTTTTCTGTAGTAGGAAAAGGGGGCATCAGTGGGATGGTGGGGTAGGGGGGTGGTAAAGGAGTGATACGAACTTAACTGGATGGTGGTAGGTCCTTGTCTGACTGAGGAGTAAATTGACATTTGGTTAAAGGAAAGCCTCTGAATTTGGGATGGGGTCAGTGGGGAAGAGCAGCACCTTCTGGGAGAGATCAAAAGAAGGAATCCCGTGGGAAATGGGAAAGAATCCTAATTAGAAGGAAAGAGAAGGAATATCCAGTGATACAAGTTTTTACACTTAAGTCAAAAAAGATAATTTCCCTTTCCACCCTTTATTTAGGTCTTGGTTACAGGAAAATAGAATATAAAGGTTAAAGAACAAAAATACAATACCAGAGGGAACATAGGAGGGTAAACAAGACAGTATGCAAAGATGAAACGAACAGTTGTGTTTAATAATTATTTTTATTATTATTAAATAATTATTAATAATAAAATGTTATTTCTGTAGAGTTCTATTCTGTCAGTTTATTGGTGTTATTTCTTTCTATACTAATTTGTATCTCAACTTTTTCTAGGTCTTCAGAGCTACCAACAGATAATTTTTGGGGACTTCGTATTCAGAGGTCTATACAAAGGTGACTGAGCCAAATAAATTCTTTTGATGTTGTATTTTGATAAATGCTAAAATCAAATGTTGAGGTAAGGATGATCAAAATTCAGCAAATATTTCTCAGACATCATCTGTGTGCTAGGCACTGTTCTAGACATTAGAACTAGAGCAGAATATTGAAATACAAAAATCCCTGTCCTTAGAGAGTTCACATTCTAGTAAGAATAGACAGACAGATTAGCAAGTAAAAAATATCTTGAAATTGTTCCACCCAGAAAGAGCGTTAATTCTTCTCAGTCTCTCTAGGACACATCTCCAAACTATGATATATATTAGTAAACAATACTAGGAATCTATTGTCTAGAATTACAATAGAATTACAAAACTAGTGTAATTATCATAAAATATTATATATAGATGATCTGTTAAAAGGTCTTCAGTTAACATTTTAATAGCTACATGTTGAGTGTTTTTTAAGAAAGGAACTATCTTAAGGGTTATGTGAGAAATTTGGTTTTGTTACTGTTTTTTGAGTTAAGAAACTCCCACAGTATTATAAAAACATTGTTTAGAACAAGATGGCCAAGGTAACCCTATAATTGCTTTCATCAGAAGAGTGGAAGAATCATGTAAAATTGGAGAAAATGAATATGGAATAATCCATTAAAGATAAATGTATAGTTAACTACTTAATGTTTTTTAAAGTTATTTTCAGCTATCCAGATTTGCTGGGGTGGGATTTCATGAAGGAGTGTACTAAGGAGATACTATCTGAAATCATCTTTTTATCTTTTTATTTTAATTAACTTTTAAAATTTTATTCTCAGAAAAATAACAACTCTCAGTGTAGATTTATAAATTGTATTTATCCAGAAGCATACTTTTTTTTATGGGCATTTAATAGTGCCTGTGACAGGAGTTTTAATGGTACTGAGTAACTTTTTTTCTTGTTCTTTACTGAAAATACAATAATAGTAATTATATATCATATATAACAGTAATATAATAGTAGTTCAGTTTACTATATATTGGTCAAGAAAGATATGATTATTATCAGACTCTGTTTAGATTATTAAACCAGGCAGTTTGAAGGCTTTTTTATTTTCTTCTTTAATTTGAATTATACAGTGATACTAAAATTAGAGAAAATTAAACCAACAAGCCCCAATATTTAATTTTATTCTCTTTGGGCTTATTTAATATGTTCTCTCTTACCATTTGCAGATTTTATTTCAATTTTCCAGAGACTTTAAGGATATACTGCTTAAATCTCAGGAAACAGTTATGTGTAAGATGGGCCCAAGGCAGAAGTTATTAGTCACTTTTACAAGCTGTGAGGAAGCAATAGACAGGAAGATTTGCCCTTTTCATTTTAGTCCCAAGTTTTAGCAATATGTTACCTTCTGTTGAGTGGGAACAGATCTATTGCCACACCCATACTTGAAGAGTCCTAGATCCATTGGTGAGACCAAGCTCCTGCAAAGTGTAGGTGCCAAGGAGGACTTTTAACTTACATCCGTTCTAGCATTTTAAAACGTCACAAACAAGTACTGTTATCTTGATGCATAATATGATGCATAATACTGGTTTGATTCACTGTTCACAATTATGTTTTTTGTTCACGTTAATTTGCTTCAGATATCAAAATAAGATTCAAGTCAAAATAAGATTCAAGCATCTCAGGTTGTCTACCATTTAAAGTTCACATTAGTCCCCTGGATTGACTCAATAACATATACTTTTAATTTTTCTAGTGTAAACAGTCATCTGACATTTCTTCCATCTTAATTGTTTTATCATGAATCATATATCAATCATGATTCCTTGTAGTCTCTTCTTGCAGAAATCTTTATTAGTCTGGGTCTTTGACATTGATTGTCTTCTTACTTTATGCTTTTAGTGGTTATTTTTATAACAGAAAACCACTCATATAAAATACATTTTTCCCCTTTTGTACCATACTTCAAAATCTCTTAATCTACTTTTGCATTTTTACACTTAAGTTGTTTGCAGGTCTTTCTGTTCCCAAATTCCTCTGTTTATGGTTGCGACTCAAGGTGTCCTCGATACTTTTCCACACAATATTTTCTGATCTTTATCATGAAGCTGTACTCTTTGTGACTTGTTTTTATTCGTATCTAGCAGTGGATATTACCTCACAAATATAGTTGTTAAGATAATTGCATCTTCTCCCAAAATTATAGTTAAAATAGTTGGTTTTAGCCCTGGCTGGTATAGTTTAGTGGATTGAACTGCATGCCTGTGAACCGAAGGGTTGCTGATTCAATCCCTGGTAAGGGCACATGCCTGGGTTGTGGGCCAGGTCCCCAGTAGGGAGCGTGTGAGAGGCAGCCACACACTGATGTTTCTCTCACTCTGTTTCTCCTACCCTTCCCCTCTCTCTAAATATAAATTTTTTAAATCTTCAAAAAAAAGAAAAGAAAAATGGTTTTAAAAACGGAAGACTGCTCTGTGACAGAAAAAAGCAGTAAGAACAGCTCTGTCCAGACAAATAGAAACAAACTGATCTCTTTTATTCGGAAGAAATAACTGGCTGCTGGAAAAATTGCAATTGTGGCAGGCAGGCAGGGTTTACACGAAGATCTTGAATTATCAAAAAGTTAAACTGGTATTTCTATTAGCCATTTCATATCTTTAAGGTTATTAGTTCCTACATTACTAGAAAATTTTGTTTGATGAGCAGTTGTAGAATGGGGGAAGTGTGCTTATTAGTAAGCTGGGCAGACTATTACTTTCTCTTGAAAAGGAAAAAATAAAAATAGAATGAAAAGAAAGCATAACTTGTTTATGTCATTAATGCATTACATAGTAAACCTAGGACAATGTATAGATCCCTTGCTGTACTTGTTTTATATTTATCCCTTTAAAGTCTTATTCAAAAATGGGGAGGGGGGAGAATAGTAGCATTGAGGATAAATTTAAAGAAATACTGGTTACTAGATATTATTTTCCTTTTCTGTGGCAGGATTCCTCATGTCCATAACATGTTGGTTGAGGCTCTGCAGCTCACCCCCACTCTCAGAGTGGCCAGTCTCCATTAATTGGACCCCGTGATTTCCACTTTCTGCTGTGCTGGACGTCATGAGCATTGCAATCCCTCTGGGAGTCACCACACCAGATACATCCTACTCAGATATGGCTGCTGGATCAGAGTAAGTGCTACTTCCTAGGTAGTAGGCGAATTACGAGTTTGTGTGGAGACAACTTTCTTACGGGCATCTAATAATAAATATGGAGTATTTTCTAAACTCAAGCCTAGCCCACTGTAAATGAGATTAGACCTTTCCCTTTCTCCCATAGATGCTGGAGAGGGAAAAATAGAAAAGGTGGGGGAAGAATTGGGGGAGGGAGTTCTAAGTAAATAATAGAATGAAATGTGCAAAGTAGTGATTATATTTTCATTTGTTTTGATGGGTGGGGAAGATTGAAATAAAGTAGGTGTCACTGCCTGCTTCTATAGAATTAATGATTATTCTGATGGATGGAGATAAAGAGGAGTTCTCTCCAACTGATTTTCCTTGAAGGCCTCTTCCTATGTACTTCTCATTGTTCTAGAGTAAAGGGGCTGAACTTTTATATGGACAAGTTACTTAAGCTTCCTGACATTGTGGGATAGAAAACGTGGAAAGTAGTGTCATCTGTTTTATTATAATATTCATTGCCTAGAAAGAGGACCTTCAAAATCAGTGGTACCAAACTTTTTTTTCAGCTAAGAGCAGCTTTAGGAATTGTCGAAAAGCCCAATCCCTAAAAATAGACTCTCAATTCTTGAAGAATTTAAATGCCAAATGGCAATGAAGGTAGGCCTTTGTTATAAAACTTTATATATTATTCACAGTTTTAAAATTTTTAGCCTTTTGTATCCCTTCTCTTTAAATGTCCGAGATTCCCCCTGCTTACAGATTCCCCCTCTTGTCCTTTTACCTCCCTTGTACCCACTCTTCCTTGCTTACAGAAAGGAAGTGGAAGCCCCCTACCTTTCAAGACGAAGTGGCACTACACAAGGATGTGAAAGTCCAGCGAAAGAGACCCAAGGGGCCTAGGGGGCAGCACACCCCCAGAAGCCAAGTCTATTCCAGGCAGTACCAGGGATTAGGGTCTGGGCTGGAAAAATCCTGGTGTTTTGAATATGTTCAGGTCCAGTTCAGACTCTTGATCCCACAGCCACTTCTTGAGTGAGGTGGGTGTTGCTCTAATTCCCCTGTTTCTCTTGCCATTTTCACCGTCCCCTGGGGATTCTTCCCCCTTCAGCAAAGAAAAGCAACTGCACCAGAATTCTGGGTTCAACTGCATCCCTGATTAATAGTGGTTTTCTTCCTTAAAACTGAGAATATTAGTAAAGAGCTTGTATATTTCTTCACAAAGCCACCTAGGACAATTTAACTGTTTATTGCCTTCCTTAAAGAGGAAGGCTTACAATGAAGCTACCCTAAGCAGCAGTGTGTTGTATTCTGGGGTAGTCTACAGTTTAAAGCAGTTTTTGGCCTTATCGCCATACAGAAAAGAAGATGGAGGGTGCGGGGTGGGGAAGGGTGGGTTGTGTTTATTCCAGGGCCCTTTTTTTTTTTTTTCCTCTTTTTCTCCCCTCCCTTCCTGTTTTGGGTTTTGTGTGTGTGTGGTTTTGGGTTTTGTTTGTGTGTTGTGTGGGGTTTTTTGGTTGTGTTTTTTGAGGTGGTGGGGGTAGGGGGTCTTGGGGGCGTTTTTTGTTTTGTTATACCCCCCTTGGGTTTTGGGAGGTTTTTGTGTTTTGCATGCCAGACAGATTTAGTTATACCAATAGCTGAGGTTTCCAATTTTATAACTATTTCCCAAATAAGGTACTTAAAAATCTTCTTGCATTAGTAGATAACTAGTTACGTAGTATTGAGATTTTTTTACAGTCAGCCACTAACTCCTATATGGATTGACTAGCAAGCTATATAGGTAGACAGCATTAACATTTGTGAAAAATTTCAACAAAGAGATTAAATCAGTGACTTTTGGATAAGTAGATAAAAACCAAAAGCAATTATTCTTAAAACTGGTATTTTTCCCAAAGTATACAGATGACTGCCCGTAAGTGTTGCTAGGGAGTACAGAAGTAATTGCAGGAAGAAAAAAATAATTCTGGCTTGAAAATTGGACTGCAGTGTTTCTGTTCCCTGAGACATTTCATTCACAGTCTCCAGACAGATTTTTAATGCTGTGGTCATAACTAATTATTGTAAACAGTTATTTGTTTAATATTTCTACAAAGCAAGAGAATGTCAACAACTAGCTTATGTAACACTCTGTTAAATTATTAATGATATATTTTAATATTTCACCATGCATATTCTATTGTCATGCACATGTCACTATTCTGGGCTCTGGTATGTAGGGCAAAGTACTCAAACAAGGAAGAGACCCAAATCTTACCTGACAGTTTTTTTAAGCTGATGGCAACGTTATGCATTATGCATTTTTAGTATATTTGTAGGGGAAAAACTGTAGATTCAACAATGGGCATGAAGATTTTTCTGAATTTACAGTCCTACCACAAATGAGTTTAAGACATTTCCAAATAGATAGCATTATAGCACCAGGTTGCATCTTGTATTTTGAACACAATTGATGGAGTCTATTTTAAGCCTGGGTTCTGGGTATGTGCCCAACTATCATAGCAGTTCAGACATAGAGGAAAAAAGACTATAGTTAACATTTGCATAAAATGGTTGACTAATAAAAAAATGCAGTTCTAACACTCCCAAGTTTTTAATCCTTTTAAAATATAGATAAGAGCTGGGTGGGTGGGTGTGTGTGTGTGTGTGTGTGTGTGTGTGTGTACACATATATATAAAATCAGGGAATATCCTAAGAAATCCTATATTTACCTGTTAACTTGTAACTATTAAATCAGTGACCAATGTGGATATTACAAATTTTCCTCATCAAAACATAAGAGCTTAAATTTTAGTACTTGGCATGTATAGCTATATATTAAATGCTGTACTTGACTAGAAAGTATTGTGCAGTAAGATGGCCTTTTAACCTCCAAAACACACATTTTATTTTTATTCCCTAGACTTGCACGTGAAGTGCATATATTTATATTTACTCAGTTTGGAGATGGGTAAGATACAACCAACATAGCTATATCTCCATGGCCATCTTTTAGTTCATATCATTTTCCATTTTCCTGTCCAAAAAGAAAAACCTAAACCCCTGATAAACAGCTGTCATGTTTCACCCCATGTGTTGAGTGGTACAAAATCTCTTAATATAGAATCGGTTCAGTTCTTTAGAATACTTGTTTGTCAAGTAAATTAATATGTGAAATTACTTTCTCTTAACTATCCATCACAGAAACTAAATTCTACCTTCATTTTATTAATGCGTATTTGCCTTTGGTTTCGTTTAGGAAACGCCACCTGTTTCCTAATACTCAGAGCTGACTGCCTCCCAGTGAGCCATGTTCAGATCATCTTTTTCTCAAGAATACTGACCTCCATTCTTGATGTATTATCCCCCCCAGTTCCCATCTGCAGACATTCTTTTAAAGTAATAAAATGCGTGCACTCACCAACAGAGAATACTTTCCTATGTCTGAAGTTCTTCTTCACCTAAAAAGTATCTTTGCTGATATAAATAAGATCCCTTCTCACAGTTTTGGAGCATATAACTGAGTGAGTTAGATACATATATCAGAATTTTCTTTTATTCCCCACTTCTCAGTTGACATTGTGCCACATTGAACCTCACACTTCATTCCTGCCAAGTACTATATGTTGTGTGTTTCTAAGCAGGAAAACATACATTACTTGAAGCAAATAGTATGCATTATTTGATGCCCTAAAAGACTCTTTGATGTATAAGGCTGAGCTGTGTGTGGTGTCCTTAGAATTTCTAATTTGTGAGTCTCTGGTCTGGTTAATTTAAACAACATATCTGTTATTCAGTTCTGCAAAGTTACATAGTACAATTATCTTTCAAATTCCCCAAAGCCTAACCAATTAAAGTTCTTTTTCTCCCTAAAATTTAATTTTTATTCTTTGCCAACTATGCCTTTTTATTACCAAATAAAGGATTACATTAAATTTCTAAATTTGAACACTTACAGAATTCTTTTATTTTATTAAATTGTGCCTGAACTGTTTATTTTCCACTGGGGGGGAAGGGTACAGAAAGATACTTAACCAAGCTTCTCACAAAGCATGATTCTTAAGATATCATATAAGTTTCTTTAAAGGTAGAATGTTATCCTGGTTTACAAACCAGTTAGGCATAGTGGAAAGAGCACAGGCTTTGGACTCAGACATTATTTCAGATCCTGGCTCTGTTAGTATGTGAGCTTGGCAAAGTCACATAAACTCACTACCTTAGTTTACCCTTCTGTAAATATGGGGTGCTATTTTACCATGTTTAGTAGTCACATAGTAGATGAATGAATATATATAAAGTACCTAGAAAGTAATGGGAAATTCAGAATGGTGACCACTACTACTGTTATTATTTGTCACTAGATTAACAAAACTTCTAAGTACAGTTTTATTTTGAAGTTCTGTTATAATACTACCATGCAGCTGTAAAATAATTGTGTCCTTTATATGCTTGCATGTCACTGGTGGATGAGAAGTTATTACTTTAAAGGTGTTTGGGGGTTCATCAAGATGAGAGGTATAAATATAAGATGCCATTGTTTTTACCTGTACTTTCTTCAGGGTATCCTGTCTTGGTAGTGAATGGAAGAGGGCCTGGTCCCTGGGGCAGTACAGAAGGCACTTTCATCATCTCACTCACTGCAAATGTCATGTGAGGTTTCATGGAAGTATTAAGAGATCCAATTAAGAAGAATAGTTCTGAGTCTAAAGCAGCCCAGAGTGGCTTCTCTAGGGGAAACTCCCTGCTCAGCTGGTACGTTTGTGTTTGTCATTAGGGACACCTTGTATCCCAGGTGCCTGCCTTGAGACATCTGCCTGTACTGGCTTCGTGTTACACACAAATCCACATTTAATAACACTTCCAGTGTTATTTATAGGCTTAGTATGTTAATAAGATTGTTTCACTGAGTTCTTTCTCTTATCCTAGTAGCTGGTGGTTGTGGAAAGAGGAGGGGTTAGAATGGGAGGTTAAGTCTTAATTTAAGGAAAGAGTAGGCGTTATGCTATCATGCATTGCTTTTCGCCTTTGTGCAGCCCTGAATCTGTGGAGGCTAGTCCAGCAGTTAATGAGAAGAGCGTGTATTCCACTCATAATTATGGGACCACTCAGAGGCATGGGTGTCGAGGACTGCCTTATGCTGTGAGTATGCATTTGTTTCTCTCCAAAGCAGTGATCTTCCTGGAGTGTAATCCATTCTTATACATTGTGACTTTCTTGCAATGTTTATATGCAGCATGACGAAGTTGCCCCTTTTGCACTTCCCTGCCTCCAGCGGACGTCTAGCCCTGCATCATTGTTCTTGTTTTTATGTCCCAGTTGACCTTGGCATTTTGTTTTATCACTTTCCTGGTTGAAGCCAAAAAACGAAGGGTACTACTTTCTTCTTTCTTTCCATATGTACCATACTTTAGGGGAGAGAGGGGCCAGTGTTTGGACACTGTTGATTTAAAAAATCTTATTTTCAGGATCATAATTACGGAGCCCCTCCTCCTCCGACACCTCCTGCTTCTCCCCCTGTCCAGACGATCATCCCTCGTTCTGACCTGAATGGCCTGCCGTCGCCCGTAGAGGAACGCTGTGGAGACAGCCCGAACTCTGAAGGAGAGACCGTTCCTACCTGGTGTCCCTGTGGTCTTTCTCAGGATGGCTTCCTTCTCAACTGTGACAAGTGCAGGTAAGATCATGTTCCATCTAAATTCAAGCCTGGGTTGCTGGGATTAGGGTTTCTTATTAGTAGGAAAAAGCTCAAAGTATTCTTTCTTGTGTTTGTTAATGTAGATGATTCCTTAGTGCTCCTTGGCTCGAATTCTCTGCACTAGGTGAGAATTGGTGACAACAAGGAATGAGAGATTGATGTTAAAGCTATTGAATTTGATATGAAATTTAATGTCCTGGAGACTTTTGGTAGGTGGGAGGAGAAGGGGGTAGTGATGCAGAGACACTTCTCCCATTTTTGCGATGATATGCTACGTGCTGTTGGAAGGACTACTTTAAGTTTATTTTCCCTCTTTAGGGGAATGAGCAGGGGGAAGGTTATTAGACTTCATCGGCGGAAGCAGGACAACATATCAGGTAATCAGAAGATGGATTATGCTCCTATTGTGACATATTTTTTATTTTAAATATTTGTCTAAACTCTTCATAAGTTCCTGTGGTCGGTCCCCTAGCTCTTTTCGTGGAAAGAGAAAGAAGTCCTCACAAGACTACTATGTAATTCTCTTATCGTGAATTAAATGTATCCATAAATGGCATTTAGCCCTGAGGCAATCAAAATATGTCTTGTGAGCACAGAAAATCAGATGATTTTTAATATGTTACATATTGAGGCAATGGAGCTTTGGGATTGAATATAAGGAGAGAAATACATACAATGTAGAGTTTATGTCTTATTGCCAATGATACAGAAAGAATCTTATTTTCATAAATAAAGTGGGTATTTATGATCTGCAGGTGATAGAGTTACCATATTTTGCTGCATGTGATGTGCTCCCATGTATAATGGGCAAAGTGTTTTGTATACATTATATGTAGGATTATTGTGCCCATGGTGTGTACTCATCATATCCATGTGTAATGTGAGTGCTTATTTTTCCCTCAAAAATTTGGGCAAAAATACACATTATACACAGCGAAATACAGTGATAGTGGAAGTAATGACCTACTGGATATGGAATAGATCTAATGGAATAAGCTGTTTTTAATGCTCTTAAATCTATTTATACAGTATAAATTATAAAATAATCTTTTTTCAGGTGGGGATAGCAGTGCAACAGAAAGCTGGGATGAGGAGCTTTCTCCTTCCACTGTGTTGTATACAGCAACACAGCACACACCTACTAGCATCACCTTAACTGTTAGAAGAACCAAACCCAAGAAGCGGAAAAAGAGTCCAGAAAAGGGTCGTGCAGCACCAAAGACAAAGAAAATCAAGGTACGGAGGGTAAAAGTATCTTAAATAGAAATATTTCTGAAATAGCTCAAATTTTGGACCACGAATGCACCAAAATTTTTTAAGAAGTTTGATCGAGATGTTTGAAGGGCCACTTTTCTCTACTTGCAAAAATCAGCTAATCTGTGTTGTGAACATGTAGACCAACCTCTCTTCTGCCACTCCATACCATCACAACTGGCACAGTTTCTTCTCCAAGCCCCATCCCAGGTATGAAATCCCAGCCCCACCTGGCACAAGCCCGTGTGTGCTACAGCAGCCTCCAGTCTAGGCTTCCACTATTCCTTCCAGTGTCTCCCTGCCTCCTCAGCCCAAAGCGGTCAGCACTTCTTGTCCTGATACATGCCCACCTCATGTCATTGGGTTGATTTTTTTTTTTTCCTTGTTTCAAAAAAATAAATCAGGAAACATCTCTTGAATGGTCTAGGCTTCCTCAGTGTCGCGGTCACTTTCCTGTATTCTCAAACAAAAAGTCTCCAGGAGAAACCTCTTCTGTTTTGTGTTCTCTCTTCCCCATCAGGGCAACTCTGTTGTTCCTAGGTGACTTGCCCATCCCTTGTTTAGGGGATTGGTCTTTGTTTCCTTCTTAATTTCAAAATTGGTAAATCTGCTACCTTAACATTTTGATTTGCTTTTTCTTTTAGTGTCAGGGCGTATTTAGGGTTTAAGTGATGCATGCTCTTCCCTGTTAATTACCTAGTTTCACAATGGGATGCACTGGAATTAGCCACAGAGTTCACTGGCCTTGAGCTACCCCTACTCTTGATAACAGTGTGGGGAATTCAGTTGTGTTTGTTACCTAGGGAAAGGGGGCAGACTAGAACACTAATTCTTGCCTTAGTTTTAGTCTCAGATAGGTATAACTGTCATTCTTGGTACCAAGTTTTGTTTTGTTCTACTTGTTTTCCTCTTTGGGATAGGCATTTCGAGAGGGATCCCGGAAGTCCTTGCGGATGAAGGTAAGGGGTATTCTTCCCTGATGCTGTGTTTACTTCACTGTGATCTTGCATTTTGGTTAGCTTCTTTCCTGACATTGATGGTCTGGGAATCTTGGATTCTGCTTTTCATTAGTTTGTAATTGTTGCCATTCGGTTTTCATTGAGCCTTTCTCCAAAGTAGATTTTCTTGGCCATTTTCTGAAATATTTTCCCTTTCTGTAATTAAGACTTCATGTGTTGGTTTTTCATTAGCTGCTTTTCTGGGGGTGACATTTTCGTAAACAAAACGAGGCTGACATGTTCTGTCATTGTGATTAGCCTCATCCTCAGGACTGAGGGTTTTCTGGGGATAGAGCATCTCTTATGTACCCACCCTAGCACCATATGGGCTTTAACCACCATTTGGAAGGATAATTTTCATCAGTAGGAAAGTAGTGTTTATTGATAGGAATTACTCTTACTGGAATTACTTATATTTGAACTGAGTTCTCCCGGCATATCTATTTGGTATAGAAGATTTTGATGATGCTAATGTGTTTCTTTTCTGTGGTTATAAAATAAAGAGCTTATGAGGTATGATTTTGGGTAGCAGTTGGAGAATAGAGAAGTTATGTTGGATGAATTTTTAGGTACTAGGTGATAAAAACAGTTTCACCGAAGGAGATTTGATTAGGTAGCCTGGTATCTTCCTTTACCTATGTATATATAGAATGACATACCTCCCAAACAATTCCTTAGGGCTTCAAAGCATGTAATTATAACTAAGAGCTATTTTAATTTTTTAAGTATTCATATCCCTAAATGTATAAATTATGTAGAATAAGGATCTTTCCTGTTCACAGTTATATATGGAAAACATTAACATCTTTTAGTGAGAATAAGCTTTATTATGACCAGTGTTAACAAAGATCACAAGTAGCACTTTACCTAAAATTTGAAGGCTTTGCCTTGCACGTAAACAGACTTGTACATATCTGTAAAAGAGATGGGAAGAGGACTTAAAGCCCAAGAGCATCAAAGCCCTGAGATGCCTTAGAACACAACTTAATTATCCTACTGCAAGGGGCCAACTTTGCTTTAACTACCCCTTTATTTTTGTCTCCTTTGCTTACAGGGGACCTTTAATAGATACATAGAACAGACACATCCCTGGTCCCAGCTGTTAAGTTCTATTTTATCAACTATTGTAAAGTGCCTTCAGGAGCTTGAAATGTTTTGAAATATATGTAGTGACTCTCCAAAAAAACTATACATAAACCCCAAGTATTGCTTGCTGTTTTGAAATGTTGACAGTCCAATAAACGTGTTAAAATGTAGACAATAAATAAAAAACACTGGTCGGTTTATTTTAATTCTCACACCAGAATTTTAGGTTGAGTTACAGATTTTGTACTTAGAATTCCTTATTGTTAAACTCCACCGAAGATCTGGGTGAGCGCTATAAGAATAGGGGAAAAATCATTTGGATTTTTAGTCCCAAAGTCAAGAGCTTCCCTACTTGGAGACTACTCAAAATTTCTCAACTTTGATACCATTGTCATTTTGAAGCAAGAAATTCTTGGGCTGTTGCAGGGGCCTGTTTTCTGCATTATAGGCAATTTGGCAGCATCCCAGGCATTTACCTACTCAGTACCAGTAACACACAGGTATGATATTGAAAAATGACTTCAGGTATTATCAGATGTCTTCTTATGGGCAAATTACCTCTGGTTGAGAAACCACTGTTCTGAATCCTCTGAGACAGGATGTTTAATACCCAGAAGAATGGGACAGCAGAATAGACAAGTTATATTAATAAATAGCATATGATACTGTAGCAGAGGCTTCTATTATGCATTAAGTTTAACAAGTCAAAAGTTTAATGATCTCTACTGGTTGCTTAAACTTGAAAATAATGTTTGGGCACCCATAATCCTCAGTCTTATAAGCAAGTACCCTTAAGTCCCAAATTTTGCACTTTTCTTGTTCTCAGCTGTTATTGACATGTCAAGCAAATGATATTCTGTTCTCAGTGTGTTGTCCTTAGATCCTTTGTTTGTTGTTCAGTTTTTCGGACTAGTGAGAAATGTAGAAAACAATAGTATTGATTTTTTCCCCCCATTTTCCGTTTCATGGGGAAAGAATAGTAGACAACAGTTGGTTAAAACCAGTGACACAAGAATGAAAGAAAACAATTGTTGTAATAGGTATAAATGTTTTCTATCTAATTTATGGACTATATGTTTAATTTTCTTATGCCTGTTTCTGCAAGTTTAGTGTGGACGTGACTTGTAAAGAGCATTGGTATTATACTGTCTTTTCCTTCTAGTCATCGCTACTTTGACATCATCAGTATCAGTGTTTGTTTTGTTTTCTGATGCCACCTTAAGTCTTGAGCACCATGAAGGAGAACATGTATCAGACTTAAGCTTTGTCTCTGTAGTTCAAACACATAAAACTGTCTGTTTAGGATGATGTTTCTGTAATATAATAATCTTTTCTCAGCACAGTCCCCATAGAGAGCAATGGTTTTCCTAGAGAAGTATAGTAAGGTACCTCTCAGCATTTTCTACACTCTACCTACCTGCCCCACCTCACCTTACCAGAATACAGCTATTTAAACTGTCAAAAAAGAGTGTTAGATACACTCCAGAATAATTTTTTTATGTGAAGTGAGATGATAGATTACTTATTTATTTTGGATCACATGTATATTTAAAATAAACATGTATTAATTGTATAAAAAACATTCTTCTAGAGAGAAGTAGAATAATACCAGTTTGGGCTGGCACACTAAGGCAGATGTTAAGAAGTATTGAAACTTAAGGGATGTGATATTTGAGGGGTGTTTTGTTCATTTTCATGAAAACTTTCTTGTTAACTTGATACTGTTCTTCTAATAACAAAATTGATTTTTATGACTTAAAAATGGTCATAAAACACACATCTGCATCACAGTGATGGAATGGAACTATGATCCAGATTAATTTCTCCCTTTAGAAATGAGGAAACTGAGCTTTTCTATGTTGTTCAAGGCTTCCCTGCTTATTGGTAGTGAAACCAAGGTAGAAGCCAGATCCCCTGACTCCCAAGCTATTATTCTTTTATGCCACACCAAATGCCAAGCAAAAACAAATTTTCTTTGAGACTCAGTCTCTTTCCTCCCTTTCCCATTTTTATTCATGACTCTGCTAACCTACCTGACCTTTGTTCTCTGCAGAATTCTCCTTCTGAAGCACAGAATTTAGATGAGAATACAACTGAGGGATGGGAAAATCGGATAAGACTGTGGACTGATCAGTATGAAGAAGCTTTCACTAATCAGTACAGTGCCGATGTACAGAACGCCCTTGAACAACATCTACATTCTAGCAAGGAATTTGTGGGCAAACCTGCTATTTTAGACACTATCAATAAGACTGAATTGGCCTGTAATAATACAGTTATTGGTTCCCAAATGCAGGTAAGGATCAAAGGATTAATGACTCTTAAGTAAGTGATTGTTAAGAACCCAGGAAGGGGTCATATGTTGGAGTTATCATATTTTTCAAATGTTCAAGGACTTAGAATAACAAATTAGCTACCTACTGAGAATCTTTAACCAAAGCAGGTTATAGTGATATACATTTTAAACTATTTTTATTGATTAAAAATAAAGATAGAAAATTTTACACAGCCTCAGTAGGAATTACTATGATTCATAGAAAGCTAAGCTTGTTTTTTCCTCATTCTTACATTAGACATAGACCACCGAAATCTTAATCATATATTTTTCTTGGATCCTTTCTTGCCGTGGAGGGGGTGACAAGTTCACTATATTAGAATCTGTTTCCTAGAAACACCTTTTAGCAAATCAAAAATTTCTGATCGTTGACCTAAATAATATATACAAATTCCTCACTTAGGAAATATTTTTAGTGTACTAAGCTCCTGTTGCTGTTGTCTAATGTTAATACTCCGGTTTTATTCAGCTACAGTTGGGAAGAGTCACTCGCGTACAAAAGCACCGGAAGATCCTGAGGGCTGCAAGAGATTTGGCTTTGGATACTCTTATAATAGAGTATCGAGGAAAAGTCATGTTGCGACAGCAATTTGAGGTCAATGGGCATTTCTTCAAAAAGTAAGAATATCATTTATTGAGCGGTGAGGGCTAAGGAGGGCCTGGTTCAGTACTATGGCTGTAAAACTATCTGGTTGATAGACTACTCTTTTGGCGGGGAATTACAGCTCAAATAAGCTTATTTCTGTCTGCATTGCTGGAGAAGTACAAATAAATCTGCAAATTGTTTAATGAATAAAGTAGTCATAAGTCCAAGCCAAGTATTCCTTGTTTTGTGCTTATTCTTTAATCAAAAGCAGACCGGCATGTGATATTTTTCAAGTTTAGGAATTGCAAAAGACTGCTTCTGTCAGCATATGCTTCATATATGCTTCATATTTGAAGTCATGGGGTGGCCTTTTTATTTGTGTTGAGAATTACAGGAATTTTAATTATATCCCTAGACCATACCCCTTTGTGCTCTTCTACTCAAAATTCAATGGTGTAGAGATGTGTGTGGATGCACGTACATTCGGTAATGACGCTCGGTTCATCAGAAGATCGTGTACACCAAATGCAGAGGTAAGATTTGTATAGCAACTTCTCTTTGAATGGAATCACCAAAGAAAAGTCTACTGAAGAAGCAGTCTGAAAACTTCACCCAGATTAAGGTCTGTAGATAATGGTTGTGATCTTCATTGTAAGAGAAACAAGAAACAAAACTAATGATGCTTTTATTCCAACAGAATGTAGGCAAGAATAAATCTTCTTTAGCAAGGAAAAAAGCATTTGCTGAAGAGAAAGAGCTAGGCTGGATTAGAAGTCAAAGGGGTTATATTAAAGAAGTTGCCATATAATATTACAGAATATGTCATTGGGCCCAAACTAAGTTGTGTGGTTGTAATTTTTTATCTTTTAGTTAATAGTGTTATAAAAGAGATTTGGGGCATTTTTAGAATTGATTTTTCAGTGCACCCATATCAAATGAAGCAAGAAAATTACAGGGCTTTTCTTACAGACGAAGTAAGAAATTTTAATTCTCTGAAATAGCTTTAAGATACAGAACAGTAACCTTACCCTGATTTCTTACATCTCAGAATTTATTGAAGTATTTTAAATTTTGGAACAGTTACTGTATAATGGTTTCAAATGAAATGATATATAACAGACTACAATAACTCTTAAGTGGGGAGAAATTATTTGGATTAAAAGTTTTTTTCTTCTTTTGGAGAGTTTCTCGTTTTTATGATAAATCTCCAACCATGTGTGTCGTCTACACAGGTGCGACACATGATTGCAGATGGGATGATTCACCTGTGTATTTATGCTGTGTCTGCCATCACCAAGGATGCCGAGGTCACCATAGCATTTGATTATGAGTACAGTAACTGGTAAGACCTCCAAATTTTCCTGACATGAATGGCCTTATCTTACATATTAAGTTATTGAGTCTGCTTTTGTTTCATGCCATTTTCATCTCTTTTAACTAATCTTTTCACAAGTATTGCATTTTTTGCCTAGAAATTGTGGAGGGAGAGGTAGGCTTAGGGCATTTTAGGGTTAGCTGATTGGTCGTTTTTTGGAGACATTGGTACATTGTATGATACTGCTTAATAGTCTCCTATCAAAGGTATTTTGGTTTACTCCTTTATAGCAAGAATAGTAAAGGGGGGGGAGTATGTATGACATTCCTAGAAATTGCAATAGCATCTGTTGTTATGCACACAGCACTTGTGCTACGGGTCATGTAGAATGAGAGGTTAAAGTTTCACCCCATCTGCTCAACCATGTAATCTAGTATATATGACAATGCAGAAAAACAGAGCTGGCAAGTCACAGATGAATATGGCATGGGTGTTATTAAGTGGATGCTTTTTCTTCCTTGGTCCTTTTAGGCAAAAAAAAAAAAGGTTATATGGTAAATTGATATTTGGCACATGTTCAATAAGAAAAGATAATAATAAGTAGGGAATTAGTAGGTAAAAGTTACGATGTGGTGAAGGTAAACAGAAAATAGTAAGTATGGCCGCTTCAAACTTACTGATTCACTACCCATTAAATAACAAATGGGAGTTGGGAGAATTGAATTTGGTGGGGTTTTCTTTCCTTTCCACTAACCGTATGTCAGTGGGAAGAGTTGGGGTTATATAGAAGCACAGAATATTGAAAATACTCATTTGGCTTTTCTTTGAAGAAGTTCCACATAGACTATAGTGACTCTCTTACTTATTCAAAGATAATACCACAAGAAATATACTAGTATTTTGAGAGAAAGAATGGGTAATATGATTGGTTTTTAAGAGTACTGAGACAGGTGCTTTTGTTTGTTTCTTTGGAGCAGTAATTATAAAGTGGACTGTGCATGTCACAAGGGGAACCGGAATTGCCCTATACAGAAAAGGAATCCCAGTGCTGTGGAACTGCCACTCCCACCTCCTCCAAGCCTACCCATCATTGGAGCAGAGACTAGACGGAGAAAAGCACGACGGAAAGAGCTAGAGATGGAGCAGCAGAATGAGGCTGTGGAAGAGGATACCAACCCACAACCAGAGCAAGTTTCTGAGAAAGTGACTGTATCCAGTGACCATGAGGTAATTTTCCTTGGCCAGAGGCTGTTGCTATGGTACTGATCCTCTCTAAATGAGGAGGATCCCAGGTTGCCATGAGTCTGATGTAGGGAATCGATAGTAGGTGGGTGTGGGTGTGTGTTCCTTTTTTTAATTTCTCTCTCTCTTTTTAAGCAATATTAATAACATCTCCTCAGCTACTCTCCAAGTTTTAGTACCGAGAATAGGGCTTATACTCTGTGTTTACCGTGTGGTTCCACAAGTAACACGAGCAAGCACTAGAAATTGTTTCTAAAGAGTTTTAAGCTACCAGGAAGGAAAAAAAAACATTGATTTTTTTCCCTAGAGCTTAAGGGTACAGCTGAATATTGACTCTGTCTTAAAGGAAATAGACAATCCAGAAGAAGAGAAAGAAGAGGTTACAGATGACCAGGAGAACCCAGCTCATAGCAGGAGGGTGGGTACCTTCAAATATCCTTTCGTTTCTGCTGATTTCTACTACCTACAGCATGTGAAGCCCTGTTCTCCTAGTTTGTACCATCTTTGACAACATACTATACCATCATCTGTAGTTTAAAAATAGGGCTTTTTTGTAAAGTAGATTTTATTATGATAATTTTTTTTCCACCCACAGGTAGTATTTATCTAGTCATGGTAATGATGGTGGGTGATTGGTAATGGTGGTAGTGGTGGTGGAGGAGGAGGTGGTGGTGGTCTTTAGAAGTGTCTTACTAACAACCTCATTTCCCAAAAACTGCCTGGTTGGAACAAAATGTCTCTGTTGGGGCTACTTGCTCTGACTTAGGAATTTTCTAATTTTTTGTGAGTTCCAACATTAAAAATCCCTACTGGTTATATGGGTTCAGAAAATCTACTTTTTTGCTGAAACCATTCATGTTTATTTCTGTCCCTGCAAAGAAGTTTAAGAAAAACTATTTGGTTATTTTTGAACTCTGAAGATGGAGAGAAATCTTGGTTTTGATGACTATTTTTCTTTTATATTAAAAGTTTCAAAATAGCTGGCCTTTGACAAGTTCATGTTTGACCTTACCTTCCTTTACAACTCTTAACACTTAAATATTTTATTTTTAGTTTTTTATTCTCCACGATATATGTACTAGGGTTTTGTAAATGTCTCTAAATTTTCATAAATAATATTTCTGAAAAGCTGTCCATCTTGGTTGAGGCTTTCTTCTATGCTATTTCTTTCTAGACTCGGGAAGATAGGAAGGTTGAAGCCATCATGCATGCTTTTGAAAACTTAGAGAAAAGAAGGAAGCGACGTGATCAGTCCTTGGAACAAAGCAACTCTGATGTAGAGGTTACTACCACCACCTCAGACACACTTGTAGGGGAAGAAACAAAAACTGAAGCCCCTGAATCTGAAGTCAGCAACTCTGCTTTAAATGTGGCCACCCCAAGCACCCCACAGAGTATTGGGGTGAACACCCGGAGGTCTTCCCAAGCTGGGGTAAGAGAAGAAAAAGCTCTAGGCCTTCGACACCCTTGATTTGTTGCTAATGTCCGTGACCTGTTTTTTGGAATGGGTAAAATCAGCATTTTCAGCTTTACCTCATAATGCATTAAATAAGGCCATTTTCATCAGCTGCAGGATTTAGGGAGACAAAATTGGAATGACTAGACACTTTAGACTACAATGAAACTTCATACTGTTTCTGCCAAATAAACGGTTGGTGGTGAGTTCATAAAAATTTGGTTTCTCTTTTGGCTCTTCTGTACAGGACAGTTATACAGCTGCCCTTTCATAGAATTCTCAGGATAAACTCATATTTCCCTATCCTACCCTAGCCGTGAATTCTAAGCTTTAAGCTGAAACCTCAGTAACTTGGTAAGAAAGGGAAAAGTTATCTTCTTTGCTAAGAACCCTTAAATTAGGTGATTACTTTCAGCTGACTTTTGACCTCTTATAAATACCAGTACTTAGAGGAAAATAAAAACAACTAACCAAGACATCTACCAACAGCCTGTTTAGCTAATTTAAATGTATACATTTTTGTAAGAATTACATTTGAAATTAGTTCTTCTAAATACTCACTTTTTCACCAGTAAACATTCAGAATGCTTAAAGTGAGTAGAAGACTAGATAGAATGTTCGCTGTTAAGAAATTCCTAGTAAGCATTTTACTCTGTTCTTGTTATAGGATGTGGCTGCAGAAAAACCAGTCCCCAAACCACCTCCAGCAAAGCCTTCTAGGCCCCGACCGAAGAGTCGAATTTCTCGGTACCGGACCAGTTCAGCCCAAAGACTAAAGCGCCAGAAGCAGGCCATTGCACAGCAGGCAGAGTTGTCACAAGCTGCCTTGGAAGAGGGAGGAAATAACAGCTCAGTAACTCCTACTGAAGCTGGAAGTATAGACAGTTCAGGAGAAAACAGGCAATTAACAGGGTCTGACCCAGCTATGGTATCAGTTGCTGGATCCCATGTCAACCGTACGGCATCTAAATACCCCAAAACCAAAAAGGTAAGTCATGAAAACATCTTTATGAGTCCAGTCTGGCAAAGGATTGTATCTTAGTAAAGTGAGAGGACCTATAATACCCAGAGAAAAAAACAAATACTCTTAAGTATTACTAAATTTAAAGTTTTAGATAAAATGTTTTGATAGAGAGGGCTGAAGCCATTCTACTACAGTTCTTTTGTTCCCAGAATTTTCAGGCTGAGCTAAATAGTGTTATCTGGGATTGTTCTGCTTTAGTGGTTACAAAGATGGTGAAGGAAGATATCCTTGCATTTCGAATGCCCAGTTCATATTTTCTGCACCTGTTTTATCTACCTGCGTTCTAGTTTCTAGATAAGGTTTATCTTTATCATCTTAACACTGTTGTCTTTGGCTTTTACACCTGCAGTATCAACTAATGATCTCTTTTTACCTTAGTATCTAGTTACAGAATGGTTGAATGACAAAGCAGAGAAGCAAGAATGTCCCGTTGAATGCCCTTTACGTATTACTACGGACCCAACTGTACTGGCAACGACCCTGAACATGTTACCTGGTCTTATCCATTCCCCGTTAATTTGCACCACCCCCAAACACTACATTCGCTTTGGCTCACCCTTTATCCCTGAGAGGCGTCGAAGGCCCCTTCTGCCTGATGGCACATTCAGCTCCTGTAAAAAGGTATGTCTATTTATTTTTAACCTAGGTTACCTGTAATCATGACATATCTAACACATCCTCCAGATAGCCACTCTCTGCCCATGTGAGTTTATTAAGAGTTAGTTGTTCAACCACGATTATTGATGCATCAAGAGTCAGTGGGACTAAGATGGGGTGTATACTGTGTTTTTGGTGCTCAGATTGTGAGTATTCGCTGTTGTCTTTTCAGAGAGCCCTTGTGGTTACTGAGTTGAGAGCGCACAGCATTTGATGCCTGGGTAGGGAGGGATGTTTTGTATGTGCTCTTGTGGTACTGGTTAATATGTTCATTTGTGAATTTGAGTGAGACTGGGCCCCAGGTGTTCTAGAGCACTGTTGCATAAGTAAAAATGATCGAATTGTGTTTTAAATTAATTCACTCACTATTATCATTTGAATGCGAGTAGAGAGAAAGTCCTATTAAATTGGCATAATTCCTGTTCCTTGATCAAATGACAAGTTGGATTGTTTATTCCCTAGTGGATATGGGACCTACTATAAAATCCATTCTCTCTTTCTCTTCCTATCTGTCCTTTCTCTAGTTACATACTGTTTTTGGATCTAGTGGCAGTAGTGTTTGATGGTTGTTTGTTTTTGGAATGCTCTTTCTTAATTCCCAGAAGTCCTGAATATTTTCCAAAGGTGTCTCTCAGGAATAGATCACTCCCTCAGCGTATAATGTCGTTTTTTGTGTTTCAAGAAGTATAGGACACACTTTCATTTGGTCTTCCTTTGAGGTAGTCTGTTCCCTGGAACACCCTTTTCTCTTATCCTCAGATCTGGATTCAGGCTGCCTTCCTCAGTGTCTGCCATTGCCCTCCTCCACTGGCATCACGTACATGAGGATGCTGCATGTAGATTATTTGATGTGATGAAGTCTCCAGCTCCAGGCAGGTCTTCCCTGACTCCTCCAAACTTAAAGCTTTTCTCTTTCCCCAAAGAGCAGAAATTATTTCTTGGGGGGAGGGGGGCATGAAAGATGAGCCAGAGTGGTGTGTGGGATATGGAGGGGAGGAGGGCGACAGGGATCTGCACACAAAGGAAGGGCCCAACCACTGAATGAGCAGCATACACTGAAGAAAGTCTTTTCTTAATCGCACATCCTACCTACTTAAGTATTTAAGTCACTTACTGGTTTGGGGAAAATTCCCAAGTAGAAGAACTCCTAAAGAGAAATTTGACCATGAGATCTTTGCAAAAAGGGTTTGTAGATAATGCAATAACAAAAGTACTAGATTTGTAAGGATGTTAACTGTTGAAGTATCTTAATCAAGCCAGATTGTAGAATCTCCTCTATTGGTCCTTTATGAAGTGTGGACAATTATCTGGTACAGATTAATAGCGAAGTCTGAATTGTAAATAGTATGGACAAGCCTCTGGAAATGATGCCTTGATTATTCTGATACTGAGTTATGATCATTTTACTCCCATCTTGCTCTTCCAACTAGCAGAGTCCTATAAAAACCCAAAACATGTAGAAATATGACTTCAAATTTCAGAGAAAATCCACTTCTTAGAGCTCTTTTTACCTGGTTATGGTTTAGAGCTTGTATCTATGGTTCATCTTTGTATCTCCACTGGCATTGAATAGAAATCCCATTTAACTCACATTTGTGTTATATTCTGCAACTGTGTCTGTCTGTCCTTAGTCTTGTTTTATACAGGCTCTGCTCAGGCGCTTTCATCTGTATGTATCATACCACTCTTCAGGAGTTCAGGCTATGTATGCTGAATTAGCGTAACAAAATTACCTTACTTAAATTGGGTCTTGTTTAAGTTTAGATCTGAATTCGATTTTAGTTTAATTTTAGATTCTTGTTTAAGATTAGATTCTTGTTTAAGTTTAGATCTGTTTATATTTTAAAATCAGACTATAGTTTTTTATGGGGTAAAACTAATAAAATTGGGTCTTTCATCTAGCATTTGGGGTTGGAGAAGAATTATTCATAGATTGGTTAGAAAGTATTCATCTAGTGCAGGATCTAGGATTTCTGTGATTAAACAAAATCGTGATAAGTTTCTGAAGATCCCTTAGAGAACAGTGTGATCCCTTAGAGAACAATGTAAGTTACACAGATAAGAAAAACCATCATTCATTAAGTTGGTTAGAACAGTATATATATTTTTTTGTTTGTTTTAATACATTTTATTGATTATGCTATTACAGTTAATCCCATTTTATTCTCCTCTTTTTTTCCCCTCTACCCTATACCATCCATCCCACCATCATTCCCCCTCCTTAGTTCATGTCCATGGGTCATACCTATAAGTTATTAGGCTTGTTTATTTCCTATCTTATTCTTAACTTCCCCGTCTATTTTGTACCTACTATTTATGCTTCTTATTCCCTGAACCTTTTTCCCCATTCTTGTACCTCCCTAGAACAATGTATATTCTTAATAGGCCTACTGTTTTATATCTAATTAAAGGAGTCACAGACCTCATAAGTTAAAAAAGAGTATAAAATCGCATGTGTATATTTGCACCCAGATTTTTAGAGTATTTCACAGAATATTTTATGATCTTCCTAGAGTTTCTAAACTGCATTATAGTTCTTAAAAAGCATATTATGGTGTGTATATCTTTTGTTGGATCTTCCTTCATATCTTATTATAGAATGGTAGCATTTATAAGTGGCTAGCAAGTATTTCAGTAGTGTCCCTCCTTGTTCTCTATAAATCCTCTCTAAACTTACCTTGTAGGCATTAATGTATGTTGGGTCATTTGGTCTCCTAGCTTTCTTAGGAAACCATCCTGAATGAAAATGAAACCCTGCTTTGCATCGGTATTTCATTGTATACGCTGGAGTGCTATTAATCTCTGTCCCTCTATACATAGCAATGAAATTTAGCTGAACAAGTCCTCTTTGAACATATATGTTCAATACTCTGCTACAAGCCTTCTTCATATGCATTATCTCGCTTAGCCTACACGACAACCCTGTGAAGATGGAATAATCTTTGGCTTAGAAGGGTTCAGTAACTTGCCCAGAGTTAGGCAGCTAGTAAAAGGCACAGCCAAGTGTCAGCACAGACCTTTGAACTCTAAAACCCAAACTGTTTCCCAGCTCTTGACCCTTTTAAACATTTCTCTCTCCCATTTCTCGGGTTCCTATACAGAGTTTCAGAGAAGGAAGAAATGTTCTTTTGACCTTAATAACTATCGATGGGACTTAGGGATGGGGTATCTAATGTTAATTTATTGTCTGTAGGGATGATTCAAACTTGTTAGGTACAAATGTTCATGTTCCTTTTTTATGGGCCCTAAAATATTGTGTAGACATGAGAATAGGGCCAGGAGGAATGGGTTAGATCATGTAACCTTGACCTTACATGTATTTGACCTTACATCACCATAGCAGCATCTTAATTTTTAAAATGCCCCATCCTGCTTTTATTTTACCTTTTTGAAGTTACCAGATTCAGAATGTAAATTTCTTTATGGTTGCATCCACTTTTGTCTTAAAGGAAAGCACAGTAACCCCAAATGAGTCCTGTCAGTCTGTTCTGAAAAGAAAACCTTGTACTAAAGAAGATACCCGTAACAAAGGATTTTGGACTAATTTCTTCCTGGCCCTCTTTTTTTTTTTTTTTTTTTTTTTTTTATCTATACACTGAGTGATTTGGACAAGGTGACCTCTGAGATCTTTTTCTAAGTCATAAGGAGCTGTGGTTCTGACAGTTCATCTTTACATCGATATTCTGTGTAGAAGAGAGTGTATTTTTGGTTTTGTTTTGGCTTTTCAGAGACCTGGTCATATCCTGCAATGTTGATGTAATTCAGTTGATCATTGAGATCTCTTTTTATATATTTGTTCACGCTTTTCTCCTCATGTTAGCAACTTTATTTATGCTTTAATTTGGCAGTCCACAATCATTTGCATAATGTAAAATTTTTCTTGGTGAAATTTTTCTCACTTATTTCCTGAGAAATAATTATTTCCTAAGTTTCTACGAGGGTAAAGTAGAATGCTTTGTTTAGTGAAGAGAAGATTTACTTACCTGTAATACTTATTCTCTGAAGGTGTGAAATTATAATCTCTTGCTCTTCCTGTTTGGGGAAGGGTCTGACTCAGAAATTGATGTTTATCAAAATTCGATGTGTCTTATGTCAGGGCAGGAGAGCCACAGACTTGTGAGCAACCTACAACTGTGTATCTTAAGAGAACACAATTACAGGTAAGAACTCTCTCACAGGGTGCATAATCTCACTGTTCTAATCTTTGCAGGCTTACTTTCTGACCTAAATTTATTTCTCATCATTTAGTGAAGTCAATATTCACTGCCAAAAAAGTGACCTTTTTCCCCCTTTTTGATTTCTGCAGAAGATCATTTATTCTGATGATTTGCGTTATTCATGCAAACTACTTGATAGGGAGAAGAAAACTCACAAGATATTCCAACTAAGAGTTGACCTTTTAGAAGTATTTTGGTACCTGTAGTGAAGAGCCATTCTCATCCGGAGTTTTCCCATGAATCTTTTCTATTACCTCTTCAGATGTCGTCCCCAGCTCACAGGATAGACAACTCAAGATCTACTATCTTCCTTCTCAGCACTTATTTTATGTGCTGGTTTTATCCTGTATGGTCAGTCTCTCTTAAATAAATGCTTAGATTTCTTCCTGTCTCTCTCCATTTACCTCAGTCTAAGCAGTGTGAGAAGTTGCAAAATCATTTTTTTTATTGTTTTGGTTTTTCAAATGGGATCTCATTGTGTATAATCTAGGTTTTCTCAGTTTTGCCCAGTAGAGGAATTGATGGGTGGGTAATACTCTAATATGGTGAAACACAAGACCAAAAAAATACTTGACTGTGGCACTGAATGTATGTTTGATTACATCTCTCACCAGTTGATATGTAATAACCTGGTTAATGTATTTAAAATAGATATGTTGATGTTTTAAGTGATTATTGATAATTCCCTTGTTCTTTTCCCATTATAGCGCTGGATAAAACAAGCTTTGGAAGAAGGGATGACTCAAACATCATCTGTACCCCAAGAGACTAGAACTCAGCATCTATACCAAAGTAATGAGAATAGTAACTCTTCTAGTATCTGCAAAGACAATGCAGGTACGTATCTCAAACTTTTCTGAATATATGAGCAATGATTATTTCAGTCCACATAAAAAATTTCCATATGACTACTGAAAGTCTAATATAAAAAAGAAATAGCAGCCCTGGCCAGTGTGGCTCATTTGGTTAGAATATCATCTGGTAAACTGAAAGAAAGGCCACAGATTTGATTCCCAGTCAGAGCACATGCCTAGGTTGCAGGTTTGGTCCCTGGTTGGGACACATACAAGAGGCAACTGATGTTTCTCTCTAACATCACTGTTTCTCTCCATCTCTGTCTTCCTCTTTTCCCTTCTCTAAAATCAGTAAGTGTGCCCTGACTGGTTTAGCTCAGTGGATTGAGCGTGGGCCTGTAAAGCAAAGGATTTCTGGTTCAAGCCCCAATCAGGGCACATGCCTGGGCTGCAGGCCAGGTCTCCAATAAAGGACACACGAGAGGCAATGACACATTGACGTTTCTCTCCCAGTCTTTCTTCTTCCCTTCCCCTCTCTCCAAAAATAAAGGAATAAATACTTTAAAATAAAATCAGTAAGTGTGTCTGTCCTTGGGTAAGAAAAAAAAATTATATGTGAAATAGTGTTGTTGTCTAAATAGTTACTTTACATCTGTCTTTACAGAGGAAGAGAGAGTTCTCAAGTCAGGGATCAGTTTTCCCAGGACAACAAAGAAGGAACTAGACAGTATACAGATAACAGCAGAAATGGTTATGAAAAGGTTAGAGACATTTAAATTAGTAAGTTTAGGAAATCTTTATTTACATTTATAAAAGGGAAAATAAGCAAGAAAGATATGGAACACTTCAAGAATGAATCACAAGTATAGGTAATTCAGTTGGGTGTGGCTTAAAGGGTTGGGATGAAGGGCGTAAACAAGAAATTACTATGAATTGTTTGTTTTGACCAGGACTTGCACTGTTAGTGTAAGATTTTTTAGAAGACACAACCTTGAATCCAATTTAAAGTTCTCATAAGTTTTTTTAAACTACAGGGTCATGAAAAATCTGGCACACTAGTTTTCACAGTGACTCCTTGCAGGGCATTTCACTGAATTGCAGTTGAAATCACGGTGCATGAATTTGTGATACCAACTTATTTTGGGACAGTTCTTTTACTGCCAATAAGTTTCTCCTGCCAATATCAACTTAATTGAGAAGTCTCTGTATTTACATAAGTTTATCTCTAAATCAAATTTGTAGATATTATGCAGCCAAAACAAAGTAAATTAGATGCTAAAGATTACGTAAGGCTACCGCTAACGTGAGAATATTGCAGATTTTCATAAAAACCACTTCGTTTCTATTCTTTGAGCTGCTTAGTAAATATGAACTTGAATTAGATAGATTTGTCTGCTAATGTCTGCTTTATTTTAAAATTTTGTATACTGTATTTTGGAAAAAGTAGGATGCTAGATTTTTTTCCCCAAAAAAATTATTGGCTTATTCATTCTTCTTTCTCTATATTGGATTATGCCTTATAAAGTACCACGTGTATAACCATAGGATAATAAAAACCCAGTGTGGAACACGGGGAAGATAAATGACACCATCTATTTAAAATACCTTACTCCATCATGTATTACTCAAACCAGATTAATATAAATTAAAAGGCAGATAGCAGACTGGGAGAATACAACAGTTTTGACAAAGGGTCAACATTCTTATTACTTAAAGAGTCCTTACAAATGAAGAACAAGATTTAAAAAATTGAAAAATCCTTAAAAATGGGTCAAGTTTTAACAAAATGAATGCCATACTGCTATTAAATTTTTAATTTAGATTTCTATTGTCATGGAAAGATTTTTTTTTACCCTGTATTTCTTAGTGAAAGTACTAGGTTATTTAGCAGTGTGAGTTGGGCAAGAGTCAATAAAGCCATGTTAAATAAAAAAGGTCTGTATGAAAATACACCAGGATGTCAGCAATATATTAATTTTGGGTTGTGATTTCAAGTTGTATATTTAAATATGCGGATGTTCACTTTCGTAATCTTGGGAAGTAGTTGAATAAAGGTAAAAAAACATGAAAGCTGAATACATTTAACCACATAAAATTTGAAAGCTGTGTATGGCAAAGAAAAATGAAACTGGAAAACATTTTTTCATAAATATAGTATTATTAACAGAAAAATGAAAATGAACACTGGCCCATAAACTTCATAAGGGCAGCATCTGGTCTGTTTTGTTGATTGTGGTATCATGATAAGGACTCAGTAAATATATTTTAAATGAATGACCTGTATATTGACTGGGCAGTGGGTTCATCAGTACTTTCTAGCTTTTCCACAATGAACTTCATCACATGCAATTGCCTTTAGTAACAGCATTGGACCTAGCAGTATAGTAGTCTTTTAAAAGATTCATTGTTTTAATACTGTTAGACTATAGAAAAAGTATTCTAAGTATAAGTCATGGATCACATGTTTGTTTGATACCCAGGCACTTTTCAAAAGGAGAAAAGAAAAATAAGAAAGAAAACTTACTGTCTGGAGCAAAAGGAAAATACAAATACACTTCTAGGAAAATAAGTTCTCAGATATTAGAAAGGGAAATATGCGTCTTCAATATTTTTTGCACTTATTCTTCTCTGTGTTTAAAAATCTACTGTAGTTCAGTGCCTCATGATTTTGTTACTGACTCCATTAATTCAAGTAGTTTCCAAGTTCTAACCATTGCTACCAGACTAATGTTCCTGAAGCATAAGTGTGGTCTGTAGTTCCAAAACTTTTCTTTGGAGGCCTGGAATAAATAAATGTTACTCTATTTTGGGATATAATTTAACCCAGTGATTATTTAAAATATAGAAGGGAATCAGATTACCTAGTCTTTATTTATCTCTCTACACATCAAATTCCTCATCTTTAAAATGGGGAATGATAATAATAGTTCTGGATTTATAGAGTTGTTGGAATTAAATCTAATTCACATAAAGCACATTAATATTGTGCTTGGTTTATAATAAGCACTTAAACACATAATTATTTTTTTATTAACAGCAGTATGATTACCTCTGTTGAATTCTTAAACTTACTTATACTATAGTAAGTATAAGTATACTTATACTTACTTATACTAAGCATGTTTTACATATATTTTATGTTTCATACAAATTTGTAAATACCTTTAAATAGATATGATGGCCATTTCCCCCCACATAAACTAGGTCACTGATTTTCATATAGGAGTATCAAGTAAATAAAAATCTTCTAACTGTTGTAAATGAGTAAATGTAGGTTTTGTTCCCTCAAAGAAAGTGAGGTGGGTACTTTGGGCCTAAGTGTAATCACTAAAATATATACAGTAGTAATTCATTTTTAAGTGGACCTAAAAAGTATAATGAGTAGGTCATTCTAATGAGAAAAAGTACCAGCCTAGTTTTTTCTAAATGGTAGGGAGTTTTTGTAGAAGTCATTTCATACTTTGAAGCACTCTAAATTAGGAACTAGTTGTAGATCAGGTAAATGTGTGTACCTCTTTTCTACAACAGTGTTACAGAAAGGTGCTGAAAAAATATATGAGAAGTGTGTAGTTAGCATTCTGGAAGCTTGAGTTGGTGACATGTTAAGTCACTGGTGATTTTAATAAATTGATACAGATTTAGGATTTTGGGGAACTCTGAAAAAAATTGTATTTTTTACTAGAAGAGATTAATTAGCTCCAGGAATCAGTCAGAAGTGTCAGGTTCATCTGGCAGTTTCTTTGGGAGATTGATTTGAAGATTACTTTAGTGTAGCAATCAAAGAGTTTCTTTCTTAGGCTTTTGGTTTGATTGCAGGAGATAACAATGGGATAAGGCAAAAGAGCAGTTAAGAGCCATTGTGGGCTAGAGATTATTGGCTTTACTACTGAACCTCCTTTTGAACTGTGGTTTCAGCCTCTCATCCATGCTTTGTATTTTACAGACCTGTTGAGCCCATTAAAGAAATGGAAGTCTCGCTATCTAATGGAGCAGAACGTCACCAAGTTACTTAGGCCTCTTTCTCCAGTCACACCACCCCCTCCTAATTCAGGCTCAAAGAGCCCCCAGCTGACCACATCTGGCTCATCCCACCCAGAAGAAGAATGTCGAAATGGATACAGCCTCATGTTCTCACCAATTACGTCTCTTACTACTGCTAGTCGCTGCAATACTCCTCTGCAGTTTGAGGTGATTTGGATTTGGTTGTTGGGAGTGCTGAATATAAAGTCATCATTTGCACCTCCTCATTTCAAATACAGTATCATTTCAAATGCTTTTTTACCATGTTCCTTGCCTGTCTCAGCAATAGAATGGGAAACTTTTCAGGGTCAGTGTGAACTATTACCTGGTAGCCTCTCATCTTGGCAGTCCATATAATTCCCAAAATAGGAATAGTTTTACCACAGGTGACGCTCATTTTCATTTGCCTTTTGCATGCAGTCCATCAGTCTCCTTAACTTTAGGTAGTAAGCCTGCTAGATCTCCATCTTTGCCTTCACTACTTTGGTTAAAATAGGCATCTAAGTGCCTGGTAATCATTAATGACACCAGCCTGAGAGCTCTGATCATACTGTTTGTCTTTGTTTCTAGGCCTATAAATCAGTCTTTCCCTATTGTTTTGTATTCTCATTATGGACTCACTGAATATAGATTGAGAAAGCATATGTGGTTTATGGCAAATGGGTTTTTTCCCTACCACAGTACCTTCCCTTTTTGTCATAAGGTATTAGAAGTGAGACAGAAACTGGCAACATGTGTTTATAAAGACCTTGATTACATTCACACCCTAGATTAAGGTAGAAATGTGTATCAGCTGTTTCAAAACAGTCTAAATCACTTTAATATTCAAACTTGGGTGACAGCAGATTTGCCAGGTAGACTCCATGTGTATTAAAAAACTCATCTATTGCATGTTGCTTTGATTTATAATTAAACAGACACGATTGTTTCTTTCTCAGAAAAATTTGTTCTTATCAGAAAACACACTCAACTCTGCCCCTAGCTTGCACTTCTCCAGATATGTTCTTTCAAAAGGTGAATGTCCTAACCAATGCCATCCTCCTCCCTGGTCAGCGTTTATGAGAGTATGGGGGTTAAAAATATATGGACTTGAAATTGACTAACTCAGAAAGAAGTAGCTAGCAACTTTGAAAATAAGAGACAGCTATACCTAAGCTATATCATTTTAACTTTCCTTTTGGTGCAAATTCTTTTGCAGGGAGAGGTTAAAAACTTCACTGGTTGCATTTGATTTCTAGAGAAGTTATTCTACTACTTCTCGTGTTCTTTTTAGCCAGATAGTAAAGCAGCTAATTCAAGTCTTACTATGTTTACCTGGTCTAATTACAGTTGACTTTTCAGTTACCAGCTAGAGTTCAATAAGTAACATTTCATGAAAGGACTTGGAGGGCAGTATATTATAGGAATAGGGTTTCATACTTTGTCATTACAGGTTTTATTATAATTAAACGTAAAATTAGAAGGTAAGTCACCTTCCCAAAGAGCTAAGTTTAGTACGTGGTGCATTTCCTGTCACTTGTAGCATCTTGGATAACTGAAACTCTATGAAAATGAAAAAAACTTATCATCCTGACCATTCTTATCATCATTCTGATTGCCACAGCCTCTTATTTTTAGTATAAGGAGGTGGGGAACCTTATTTTCATCCAAGACTGTGACACGGAGAAATATCCAAAGGGCATCACAAGTAAAGATCAGCTTGGTAGGGGGGAGAATATTTTTGAAAGGAAAACTAAAAATTATTCCAGGAGAAAAACAGAAATCAATTCCAGGGGAAGGGGTTCAGGAGTTAACAGCCAGTACCCAGCTCTGCTAAAGCTGGCTCACTTCCCCTACCACAGACACAGTTGTCCATAGCCACAGCATTAGGAGTCCCTCCCCTTACTTACCCTTGGCACCCTGAATCCTTGTTAAAACTACCACCATTATTCTCTCCACTGTTTACCATTCATATCTTCCCACCAGAGTTCACTGCTCAGTTTCTGTTTGATGTGGGAGTGATACCTCAGGTACAAATCCTTAGAGTAAACCTGTTCAGGACTCAGGGACTCAGACTATAGACATCTGCTTTTTTTCTCCTTCTGTTCCCAGAAGTACAGTGGATTATAACATCAGAGAATGTTAGTGGGTGTGGTCAGGCTTAATTAGATTATGCCAAGAACCATCTAGTGATAAGCTAGAGAGTCTTCTATAACTATAGTTCAAGAAGAATTGGCCATCTTCCTCGCCATGTCATTCCCCAGCATGCTAAGTAAGTTTATCTGGATAACAGTGATGGGACTGAGTCACATAAGAGAATGAGAAAATACAGTGTTCTAAAGGGTCTGTGGGGTGGAGGAAAAAGGTTCCCCAAAGGAAGAATAAGTGATCGGGTGCCCAATAACAAATAATACCACAGGTTGCTAAACTCTCATCTAACATAAAGAGAAATATACAGTTAACCCTTGAACAACATGGACATTAGAGGCACCAAGCTCCTGCTCATTTGAAAATCCATGTACAACTTACTGCTCCTCAAAAACTTTACTACTAATAGCCTATTCTCTACTAGAAGTCTTATAATATGAATAGTCCATTAATACATATTTTATGTTATATGTATTAATATTCTTAAAGGTAGAGAAAAATGTTAAGGAAAATAGCTTTATAGTACTGTACATATTTATTTTAAAAATTTATGTATAAGTGGACCTGCACAGTTCAAACCAGTGTTGTTCAAGGGTCTGCTGTAATAGTGTAAAATTTCACCTATCTCTTTCCTGATATCTGCTTGAGATGTTTACGTGTAGCATGAAACATTTATTCCTAAATGCTTTCAAAGGCACCAGGAAGCATTTTAACAAGTCATCCTGTTCATTAAGATGAATTCTGCAGTTAAACATTTCCCCTTGTGCATTCTTGTCCCCCACCCCCACCCCCCAAAAGTTGTGGCTAACCATCTATGCTTGCTTTTCTTTATTTTTTTTGTTTTGCTTCTTGGATTCAAGTAGATGAATAACAAGATGCTTTTCCCTCCTCTAGAACATATCCTCCCCTGAGAGTTACCCTGCGAATAGGCCCGAGTCCCTGTCACCCGAGGTAGTTATCACACCATCTCAATCACACTTGGAGGCTGAGAGTGAGTGTGCATGAGTGTGTGGGAAGGGCTGGGGTATTCAAGTGAATGGGGTGATGGGCTGGAGGGTGGCCAGTTGGTCACTGTAAGTTGAATGAATCTTCCCATGTATGACTGGTTACTCAGAACTCTCAGTGTAGGTGGAGGAAAATAAAGTACCTATGTGTGTGTGGTGGGGGTCTGTTTTTGTTGTTGTCTGGGGGAGGGAGTGGCTAAAGAGTTCTTTTAAAAGAAGAACAGAATCTAAAAGTAAAAAGTTTAAAGGAGGCTGAAGACGTGGTAGGAGACTTGTAAAAGAAAGTAACAAATAATTTGTTTATTAAATAAGAAAAATTGAATCAAAAGTTGGTAGGAGCTTTCTTTTGCTATTTATTATCTTAGGCTGATAAAGGAACAGCTTCCTGGAAAAGTTAAGCACTGATTTATGCCTTGTTCCTGGGTTAATCTGAGAGGTGTGTTTAACTGGATCTTTTGGACTGTGGTTGATAGATTGAGTAGCTTCATTAAAATGAGAGAGTCACGCCTCTCAGCTTTCTGCATTTTCTTTATAGCTCCTTATTGGGTACACAAGGAAACTACATCAGCTCAGAGCTTCTGTGACACTGGCCTCCCTTCTGCAGTGTTTGGGTTGTGGTTGCTGTACAAGTGGTATCTCTTAGGGTATCCGTTGAGTGCTTTGTTCAGAAATTCTGTTGTGGAGATATAAAATTCATATTTTAATGCTGGCATTTTTTTAACTATTGGAAGATTTGGACAGAGTAATGACTTAACGCCATGAATCTACATGGAGTCTTTTTCATCTTAGAAAGTTAAAGCCTCTCATAACCTTTTAGAAGTTAACCGAGCTGTTAACTAATAAAAAAATTAATATTAAACTTAGTGACAGTTGACCAAATTCTGAATCAGTAGGATTTTATAGATTAATGTGAAACTGAGAAAGCTTGTATTCCTAGTGTCCTAAAGGTTTTCTGGGTGGTTTTGCCCTGTCTTATAAGGAAAGTACAGTGTTCTTTCCTCAGGTGCTAAGGGTTCTAAGATAGCATAATTTGGAGGTTGACATGGTATGGCGTCTGGGTTTCTGGAACAATTCTTTCAAGACAATTAGCTATTTGACATAGTGATGAGAAACCTAGCTATTAGGAGGTAATGATAACCAAATAGTACATGGGGTTTATTTTTGGTACAGTTCAGCATTTCACATGCTCTGCAGTGATGGGCATTAGTTGTGTGTGGTATGTTGACATACAGTAGAGGATAAAGAAAAAAGAATTGAGTGGCCAGAAGGTTTCATGAGAAACATATCTACTTAGTAGTGAAAGTGAGTGGAGAACTGGTTGGTTGATGTCTTTGATACTATTTATTCTCCTTTACTGAACCAGTAACTTAAATACTTGACTTTCCATCTACTTTCTACTTTCTTTCAACTTTTTTCCTCTTTCCACCTTCCATCAATATTAACTTAGAAATGAATAACACCAGAAGCCAGTTATCTTAAGGCACCAGCTGGTCTCACCTCAGTGTAGCATACATGGGGCTCAGGTAAATCCCAGATTATACTGCCAACCCCTTAATGTAGTGCAAGGTAGCTCAGCAAACCTGATGAAAGGCTAAGCAGGCAAAGTAATCACATTTGGCCAGTTACCTAATTCTGATTTTCCCAGTATCCTCCTCCAGAAAGACATTAATTTGGTCAGGGTGGGGGTTGTTTAGTGATCTGGCCTGTATACACTGTTGCTACATGGGACTCTTACAGATGTTAATGACTTTCTCTCTTCTGCTTCCATCCCTCTTGTTTTTGCTGTTCACCTGTGCCTCTCTTACCTCCCTTCTTTTCTACCCCTTTGACTTTTTCCCTTCTCCCCTACCCCATGTCTCCATTGATTTTTATTCTTTCAGCTTTGTCACCGAAAAGACCTGGACTTGACAAAAGTAGGCTACCTTGACTCCAACACTAACAGCTGTGCTGACAGACCTTCCCTGATCAACTCAGGTCATTCTGACCTAGCTCCTCATTCCTCCATCGGACCCACCTCTGAGACCGGCTTTCCAAGCAGGAGTGGAGATGGACATCAGGCCCTCATGAGAAACTCAGACCAGGCATTTCGGACAGAATTTAACCTAATGTATGCCTACTCCCCATTGAACTCTATGCCTCGAGCAGATGGATTATATCGAGGGTCTCCCCTAGTAGGGGATAGGAAGCCTTTACATTTGGACGGGGGATATTGTTCCCCTGCAGAAGGGTTTCCCAGCAGATATGAACATGGTTTTATGAAAGACGTCTCTCGTGGATCCATGTCACCTGGTGGTGAAAGGGCTTGTGAAGGAGTCCCATCTGCCCCCCAGAACCCACCACAGAGGAAAAAGGTAAGTTTTACATGATGCAGGCCCTTTTGAAGAGCAGTAACATTCAGTAGATATCTGTGAAGATAATGCCATGTGTTCAAAACTATTCCCAGTCAGTGCAAGGAAAACAAAGATAAGTAAGACAAGGTCTGCACCATGTCCCAAAAGAGACAGTTTGCTTTAGTACAATTTGATAAATGTTGTACATAATCAGGAAATTTAAATGCCTATAATGTATGTGCTGTACATGAGGTAGGCAGTTCAAAGAATAGAATGGTGGAAAAGAATATTATTACTTGTATTATTTAGCACTTTCCCTGTTCTAAGCACTGTTAAGTTCTTTTTATGTACTTAATCCTCAACAGTAATCCTGTAAGATAGGTAATTTCCCATTTTGCAGATAAGAAACTACAGCAAGTTGAGTAACTTGCCCATGGTCACACAGCTAGTAAATGGAAGAGCCAGGACACTACCCAGGTCCGTTGGATTCTAGGTTGCACGCTCTTACTGCCACCGTGCTATATTGCTGCCTAGGTTCTACCCTGATGGAGCTTACAGCAAGTGAGACTGAGCTTAGCAGATAATTGTATTAATAAATATTTACAATGGTGATGGATGCTCCAAAGGAGTTAGTTATTCAGATGTACTGAGTTTGTCTGTCTTTTGTTTTTAGATTTTATTTATTTATTTTTAGAGAGGTGAAGGGAGGGAAACATAATGTTCAGTTGCCTCTTAAGTGCCCCCTACTGGGGACCTAGCCCACAACCCAGGCACATGTCCTAGAGTGGGAATCAAACCGGCAACCCTTTGGTTCACAGGCCAGTGCTCAGCACAGGCTGAGCCACAAGCAGCCAGAGCCAGATGTGCTGAGACATCTTAATGGAGGAACCTGGCTTAGTCAGATATGTGGAGGGTGCTTTAAGTACAGACAGGTTCTTGGCCAATTTGAGGGATGCTGGAGTAAAAATGACAGGTCATTGATTTAGTTGATCTCAGACAGTAAGTAAGAATCAATCAGCCAATTTTTTTTTTTTTAAGATTTTATTTATTTATCCTTAGAGGGGAAGGGAAGGAGAAAGGGAAAGAAACATCAATGTGTGGTTGCCTTTCGTGCATCCCCTGCTGGGAACTGGCCTGCAGGAAACTGGGCTGCAACCCAAGCATGTGCCCTGGCTGGGAATTGAACCGCGATTATCTGGTTCGCAGGCCCGCACTCAATCCACTGAGCTATGCCAGCCAGGGCCTCAATCAGCCAATATTGAGGGTGCAGATATTATATATAGAAGTGGGAGCAGAAAGAGTAATTATGTGACACCCCACTGGTACAAGCAGCAGGGATGCTGCTATGTGTTTGCAAACAGTTGAATATTGCTGTGGTGTCAGAGGGAAGCTGGGGAGAGTCAGGAGGAGGAGGATAAAGAGAGATGGGCAGGGCCCGACCATTGAGAGCTGGCTAGTGGGTTGGTACTTGGCTTTTAAGCAATGCCTCTTATAGAAATAACAAAGCCAGAAATCTGCTTTTTATATCATTGGATTTCAGGTAGGGGTATTAGGAAATGCATGGGTGTATTTTGGGTCAACATAGCAACTTTTATTTATTGGGCAGGGCTAAAGAAGCTAAATGTTCTGTGTGTGACAGTCTCACATAATTGCAAAATATCTGTAGTGTTCTTGGTAAAAAGTGGCTTTTTAAATTTATAGTGAACTACATTACCAGAAGTCATTATTACTGACTTCTTTCCAAGATTGTGTACAAAAAGTGCAAATACAAAATTGTCTTTGAGATTTTGTTATATTTTATATTTGGGGGACAAGAAACAACTAAAGCCCTGAGAAGATCAAAGGAGGAAACACTGGCAGGTAGTTTGGAATCGAACAGCAGTGTGTTTTGAAGACTGTTGCGTGCATAGCATTGACTATGAGGAACAAAAATGGAAACAGTCTTTGGATTTCCGGTTTTGTTTATTACATGCAAAAATAACTGAAATCATTATTTATTTCAGAATTGTTGCTTAGCATCTGTTTTTGGTCAGTTCTGTGTTGGATGTTACACATAAATAAACCTGGTTTTTGCCCTTGTAGAACATACAGTTTAGTGGAGGAATGAGCAAGACATTGTAACAGGTTGCCAGCCATGTGAGTACAGTGTATTGTAACAGCACAGGAGAAATGTGCCAGTGGGGCGGGGAGAGGATTCTGTTTTGGAGGTCAGGAAAGGAGGCAGGTGAACAGCAAGCTGGGGGGAATTTCCAAGTGTGTAGAGGTTTAGTACAGCCAGCTTACTAAAATAAAAACTGGAAGTCATTTCCTTTCTCCTTGTACACTAGTTCTCTATGTGTAAGACAGAAATACATTTATAAACCCTGAAGCATTGGTTTTTGCTTTCGTTTTGGAGGTGGGTTTTTTCTCTTTATTTTTAACAACTATTTCTAGGGATTTCTAGGGAGTGAAAAAGCTATCAGAATCACCTGGGAGCCTTTTCCAAACTACATGAATTCCCAGTTCTCCACCCTCCCTTTTCTGGGAGCTACCATTGTTGCAGATAACTATGATATATACACACTTCTGTTACCAGCTAACTAATTTCACAGGTTTTTCTGAAGGCAGAAAAAAAGTTGAGTTATATTAGTGAACATCAATCTTCAAAAATGTCATCTCCTGGAACCTTATCTTCTCCTTACCAATTTCTGATATAAATATGTAACTATGCCCAGATCTCTCTCACACCTTAAAAAAGTCAGCAGTGTTGGTCCCTGCTTTGTTTGCATGGCTTGCTAATGGTTTACTAGGGTTCCATCTTTCCCAGTTGCTACTGATTAAGTAATAGTGGCTAGAGTTCTGCTTTCTTATTTCCTTCCTAGGTATCCCTGCTGGAGTACCGCAAACGGAAACAAGAAGCCAAGGAGAATTCTAGTGGGGGAGGTGACTCTGCACAGAGCAAAAGCAAGTCTGCAGGAGCTGGGCAAGGCAGCAGTAACTCACTTTCTGACACTGGTGCCCATGGTGTGCAGGGATCCTCAGCCCGAACCCCATCTTCCCCTCACAAAAAGTTCTCCCCGTCTCATTCCTCTTTGTCCCATTTGGAGGCTGTAAGCCCGTCTGAATCCAGAGGCACTTCATCTCACTGCAGACCTCAAGAGAATATCAGCAGTAGGTGGTAAGTTGATGTTTGATGCTTTAAATGATTAAATGGATCATTCCCAGTTTTACCTAAAATGTGCAGGAACACTTATCTGAGAGAGCAAGCCAACAGTGCCTCAGTTCTGTTCATCTGAGTAAATAGTATCAGCCAGTGCCTCTCCCCACCCCCTTCACTGGCCTTTCAGAAGCAAAGAATTGCCACCAAGCCTTTGGACTACATAGTTGTGAACACAGATGAGCTATAGTATTTGCTGGGCACTAACACTGCCTCTTCTCTTTTCTCATTTCATATGAAAGGTAAGTCAGGAGTTCAGCTCAGTTCCACTTAAATTAACAACAGATGTCTCAGTTTTACACAGCTAGCATATACAGAGAGGTAAGATATATTCTGAAAGGACTTGTCTGGTTTAGGGGAGATCACAGATCAATAATACTAATGGCAAATACTGAGTATCAGATGAGTAATACAGAATAAGGCAATTCAGGGATCTTGAACTGAAGAAATGAAGTCTGCGAAAGAAGAGAGGGCTCCAATGAATAATGTTTATTAATGTATGAAATATGTATTAAACCTACTGTGTGCTGGGCACGTGACTTCACAGAAAACTTAGACTTTCACAATGGAGGTTTAAAGTAGACATCTTAACATTTACTTTTTTCCTTGGTTGCTTTTTATTTAAAAGTGTTTTTTTTCTTTTGTGCCTGACATAGTTTGAGACAGAGAAAATACCTTGTTTTAAATTGGTCCTGAAGAAAGTAATGTCCAAGAAGATGTTTTTAAGGGAGTATGTTCTACAACCTTTGTCAGAGCTTCAGTTGTTCCAGACTCTTGACTCCAAAATTCTGTGTCATAAACATGTACCCTGTTGCCTTCACAGGATGGTTCCCACATCAGTGGAACGACTCCGAGAAGGAGGGAGCATCCCCAAAGTCCTCCGAAGCAGTGTGAGGGTGGCCCAAAAAGGAGAGCCTTCTCCCACGTGGGAGAGTAACATCACAGAAAAAGATGCAGGTGAGCTACTGTCTTGTGATGCCAGTGAGTTCCAGGGACACATGAGCCAGGCTTCACACAATGCATAACGAATGCTAGGCTGAAGTGTCAGCTTCTTACATAGTCGGGCTCTACTGTATGCAAGATTCCAGCTCAGTTTGCTTCTACTCTTGGGCTACAGCATTCTTAAAATCTAGCATTGCTTGCTCTCTGTCTGCTCTTTTTTTTCCCCAAGGGATACCTTTTTGTAACTCATCTGTCCAAAGACCTGGAAATCCACCTTGTTGAAGGATGAAGAGAAAGGAGGAGACAGGAATCAGATCAGTCATTTAAGACATAACCCATAATTAACCACTCCTTTTGCCCTTCTGGCATGCTGCACTCACCTGATTGGTCAGAAAGAGAGTAGCATGGGTCAGTGATGGCATTGGTGATTTGAATGAACAATGGCTATTTCTCACTTATTCAAAGAAGCCAAGTTCATTTCTCTGTTACATTTCAGACCCTGCAGATGGAGAAGGCCCAGAGACACTGAGCTCAGCACTCTCGAAAGGAGCAGCTGTTTACAGTCCTTCCAGATACAGCTACCAGGTGAGATGAGAAATTGCTCATCTCTGGGCATAGGAGTATGTTCTGGGTTCCAAATGTTTTGAGATGCCATCTTTGCATATAGTTTCAGCAGCCTTGGAAGTAAGCCATCATCTGCTCACCTTCAGGTAATAAATCATTCCAGAAAAATAAAGTGACCAGAAATAGCCATTTTACTGTCTTTGGTATTCTAAAAAGAACAATTAGTTAAGAAGATGAAGAAGAAAAAGCGGCATGTTGTAAATATTCACAAACGTAAACGGCTGAAATAGGGACTTACTTACCTCTTTATGCTTTTCTTTTCAACTCTAGCTCCTGCAGTGTGATAGTCCACGGACAGAATCACAAAGCCTCCTTCAACAGAGTTCCTCCCCTTTTCGAGGACATCCTACCCAATCTCCAGGATACAGTTATCGAACTACTGCACTGAGACCTGGAAACCCCCCCTCTCATGGTTCTTCAGAATCCTCCCTGTCCTCTACATCCTACTCCAGCCCCGCCCACCCTGTGTCCACAGACTCTTTGGCTTCATTTACGGGGACACCAGGGTATTATAGCAGCCAGCCACATTCTGGAAACAGCACGAGCAGCAATCTTCCGAGGAGGAGCTGCCCTTCTAGTGCTGCTAGCCCTACCCCACAGGGCCCCTCAGACTCACCGACCTCAGACTCGGTTTCCCAGTCCAGCACAGGAACTCTGAGTTCCACCTCCTTTCCTCAGAACTCTAGGTCGTCATTGCCATCAGATTTACGGACTATCAGTCTGCCTAGTGCTGGGCAGTCCGCTGCCTACCAGGCCTCCAGGGTATCTGCGGTTTCCAATTCACAGCACTATCCACACCGCGGGAGTGGGGGTGTGCACCAGTACCGACTCCAGCCGCTGCAAGGGTCAGGAGTCAAGACTCAGACAGGACTTTCCTAGGGCTTCTGGATTTGGGCAAACAGAACTGAATGAGCCCATAGCTGCTTCCTTCCAGCTGCCTCTGGAACCTAGGCCAAGCAGATCGCTGGGGAAGAGGGTACAAGGTGCCAGAGGATTGGGTCTGGTCAACAAGAAACAAGACTTGTGGTCGCATCTGGCTCTGGCCTTGGGAGAAAGATGTAAATCTTGTCTGAAGCAGAGACTATAAAGAAGTTTCTCCCTGCTGTTAAGGGTACATTGTTGACAAGCAAATGGTGTTTCAGTTAGTAACGGTTCTAAGTGCAATGAGTTGTGTCGAAGCCTCCATCTCCCATCCTTGCCTGTAGCCTGTAGTCACTTGTGCAGTGAGGACATCTTTTTTAAATCCAAAAGAAGTTTTCAAAGGTGGGGGACATGAAAAGAGCCAGTCTCAAAGCCCCAAGCCATCTGAGTAGTGTTAGGGTTTTATGCACTTAAGAAGAAAGTTAGGTATGTAAAACATGCACCATAAGACAACCATTCCAAAAGCAGACATCCAAGGTATGTCCACCAAGAATGCTCCCTACCTGTGCTTTAAATCACCATGAAATAGGCAGGGATAGTGAAGCTTGCAGTGAGTACTCTAAGGGGTGCCTGGCTCTCTGAAGAAAAGCTTGTGGTCAACTCTTGGTTATTCAGGAGCAGATTATCCTAGTAGATTGTCTGAGCCCCCAACTGTTGCCATCCCGCTCCCCTTCCTCAAGCTGTTTCACAGTTCAGTAACCCATAAAGTAGATAGGTAAAGAAAAGACGAATGTTACGTGAGATGGGCCCATTGCCGTGCTACTTCTCAGCTGTTGGCAATAGATTTGATTAGGAAGGATCCCAGGTGGTTTGGGAATTCCTCGAGTTTTATTTTTCTGCTCCCAGTTAATCAGGAGTTAATGATCCCATGAGTAGGACCACCTCCATGATTTGGGAGCACGCACTCGTGACTGCAGGGTAAGAGTGGAAAGGTGTGTGTGTGTGGAGTGATGCCAACAGGACTGCGATTGTGTGTGGGCATGTTCCACATTTCTTTGGGGGATGCTCATCTGACAGTGGCACAGGTGAGAGAGTTAGAAAGCCGCCCATGCACCTGACTGTTGTGGATGAGAGACGAGAGCAGAGTGGCTTCTCCCCATCAGTGCATTGTGCCTATTGTACACCCCTGGAGGAGCTCTGGAGCCAGCCCAGGTGGGGTACGCAATCTTTTTAAATTCCATACGGTTGCCAGCTTATTTCTTTCACTTGTTTACTGTAATATCCGGCGTGTTTTTATTTATCTAATTTTGTATTCAGTTATAACCATGGTAGGGGTAGCAGATCTATGACAGGTGTAATCCCTGGTGCTGCAGTGGACCTTACTTCTTTTCTTTTGGACAAGATAATACTGTGAGTCTCCCTCCGTCCCTCCCTCCAGTTTGTTTTCTCCTTCCCCCCCCCAGCCTCTTGCATCCCCTTCTTTCTACCCTCTCCTACAACTATCATATGCACAGTCTTCTCTCTTTGTGTGTGACTGTTACAAAATTTCACTTTTTCAAAATTGAAATCAGGTGTTTGCTCAAATGAGGGGAGATTTTTTTTTTTTTTTTAATGCTGAAACCTCAGCAGAATACTTTTCTTTTTGTTGTTTCCCCCACAAACCCATCAGTCTGGGAGAGCCTTGGGAGTGGAAATCATGTTGCCTGGGATGCTGGTTTCTTTGTATATTATATAAAACGTATGTAAATGTCTCTCCATTTGGGCTGGGGTTTGCATTCTCCCCTTGGCTGTTAACCAAGGGGAGAGGCCAGCGGGCAGGCGGCCCTCACCCTGCCTGGCACGTGCAGAGACCCCAGCCACTCTGTGTGGGCAGGGTGCTGTCAAGACCAGACCTCTTGGGGGGGATGGGGGCGGGGGGTGGGGGGAACTCTTGGAAGGAAAGAAGTATCACTTCTTTCTCAAGTGGAGTGTTTACACCTTGATGTAACATTTGAACTTTCACAAGAGATGTAATAATTTTGATAATAAAATTCTTAACCATAATAATCATAAAGTTGAGAACTTATTTGTCCAATTTTGTGACCTTGCCTTACCTAGTTTTCCTGTTTCCTTACCTGAAGAGGGCAGGGTGTACATTCAGGATGATACACTTTTGGTGGAGTTTTTTTGCCCATCATGGGGCTAGGAATATAGATTGATTGTCTGTCTCCCTTTTCGGGGGAGTAAGGGCAGGTCAGTCTGCAACAGTGGAACTGAACGTTGCAAACTGCCTGGAACCAGAACTAGAGTTCCTGACTTTGGCTTTACTCATTTGGCAACTGTTTATCAGCTTTTTTTCTTTTTTTATTAAACAATTCCAGGCATTGTTTTTAGTGGTGGGTTTATGCTTATTAAAGGGGGCATGAGGCAGACAGATAAAACTCCCTAAGCGTTCATACTCTAGAGCAGGGTGAGAACTAAACCAGTCCATAATTTCAAGTAGTCATTACCATGTACTGTTTCCTGTCTGACGTGTACATAGGGGGATTGAAGGGGCCACTCCAGATTGGTTTATTAGGGGAGGTCTCCAAGGAGGTGACATTTAAGCTGAGACCTTAGTGATTGAGAGGCAGTCATGGGATGATGAATAAAGATAATTCCTGGGGAGTTAGAACAGTAGGTGCAAAGCTTAGAGCAAGAGAGACTTGATTAGGACACAGTGAATCACCAGGGCAGGGAAACGGGGTGGCAGATGCCAGGAAAACAGCAAGTAGGGGTTGGGTCATACAGCGCAGGGGTCAGCAAACCCTTTCTATGAAGGGTGGGATAATATTTAGGCTTTATAAGTCATACGGTCTCTTGTCCTAATTCTGCCATTGCAGTACAAAAACAGCCATAGGCAGTAAGTACATGGCTGTGCTCCAGTAACTGTATTTACAGAAATGTGACTAGTGCCCTGGCTGCTGTGCCTTGATTGGGTGACATCCCACAGGGCACAAAGTTGCCAGTTCAATTCCTGGTCAGGGCACACGCCTGGTTTGTGGGTTCAGTCCTGGTCAGAGTACACACAGGACACAGTCGATGTCTCTCTCCCTCTAAAAACAAGTAAAATTGTTAAAAGCGGGGGCAGGGAGCAAGAATACATGTGGCTAGTCAGATTTGGCCTGCAGGCTATATAGTTCACTGGTCCCTGATGTAGAGCCCGTGGGTTTAGTTTAAAGAATCAGGATTCTAAATACAGGGGGAAAGTCATTGCAGAATTTTAAGCAGAGAAGTGACATGGTCTGCTTTATGTTTTGTTGGTTGATTAGGTTTTTTTAATTACTCTGTTCTATTTCTATGGGAGAGAGATGGATAGATGCCAGGAAACCATTTTGGAAGCTGTAGCAGTTACTTAAGCAACAATACGGCGATGGCTTCTGTTAAGAGATTAATAATGGGGATAAGGAGAAGTACTCATTATCAGGGCGTGTTTTGCCAAGCAAACAGTGCTTGCTGATGGGGTGCTGTGGCAATATTTGGCTCTAACATCTATTTGACAAATATTTACTGAGACCTATGATAGATTGCATTTTGCTATGCATATAAGGGATTCAAAGGTGGAGAAAATGCTATCTATTTTTTGTTTTGTTTTTTAAATCATTTTACAGAGAGAAACATTGATTTGTTGATCCACTTGTTTATGCATTCTTGGTTGTTTCTTGTTTGTGCCCTGACCAGGGATCAAACCTGCATGCAACCTTGGCATATCAGGACAGCACTAACCAACTGAACTACCCCACCAAGGCTATCCATTTCTTTAAGGGGCTTAGAAAGTAACTAGTTGGAAGACATACTAAAAATGATTATCTTTTGAGAAGGCCTTCCCAAAATCCTATACGAATACTTAACCTTCCAACAGCCACAACTGAATTCCGCCTGAGGTAAAAGAATAGGTGCATGATCTTACTTACAAGCACTTCTGTATATAGTATCATATTTGGTCTAATAGTTCTGTGATGAAAGCACATCAGATACTAAAGTTTAAAGATGACAGATTGAGTGAGGCCTAGTGCAGCGTTCCAGCTGTACCAGAAGGCTTTTGATTATGAGTAAGCTTATCTGAATTGTGTCAGAATTGGAAGGTTCAGTTCCGTAATCATTTACGAAACAGCTGTAGTGCTGTGCTGTCTGTAAGGTGCTAGGAATATGAATGTAAGACAGCCAACTGCCTATTAGGAACTAGTAGTCTATTTGCTGTTGTTACCAAGTACCTACTCTTACTAGGTACTTAGTTTTTGATACAGTATTAAGTGTAAGCTGAACAGTATTAAACTAGTGGAATGGTGCACCTTATTTGTGGCTTTACAGTTTACCAGACTCTTCTTTTATTTATGCCATTAGCTACCACATTCGCACTTAATGTATAAGGTAGGTATTCTGTTTTATAATTTTTTAATAAACTTCAGAGGATACAACTTGTCCAAGATTTCTCTCTTCTAAATGGCAGGCCCAAACTGCCAACTCTGGAAATTTTGCAGTATATCCAGGCGGGGAGGTGCAGGGTGGGGGAAGAAAAGCTAAGAGAGGCTATGAAACAGACTACAAATCATTTAGCTAAAAAAGTATGTCATGCCTTTATCTACCTTGTAAACAGCAGTCAGGCCTTATTGGTCCTTGGGCATCAGTGTGGTGGTACAGGGTTCTCTGCAGCAGAGGTCACCCTGAAGAAAAAAGTGCACAATTGTCTAAATAAAATAGACTATTTGCTTTGAAACTACATAGATTATCAACTCTATCAGCTGAAACTGGGCTGCCTGTATAACCTATGAGGTGCAGAGATAAAAGGGTTTGCCAAGGTTCATAATATACCCTGTGCTCAAGATTGATAATGGCAACAGCTTGGAGAAACATGTAAGTGGAGAAGATGGTGGTCTCCTATAACTTTTACCTGCTTCTACATTCAAATCTTAACCTGGCAAAGATTGTGAGGTAGTATTGTTTTGAATATTTCTCAAATTCCTCAAAAAAGTGCACAGACCAGTCGTGGTAGCAACACAAAACCTTGAGCAACAGTACAGGAAAATTAGGTGTCCCCAGGAGCCCAAAGGAAGGTATGTAGAAATACAGTGCCAATAGCGACAAAACCTACATGGTATCTCATGTTCCAGAGGATGGAACGTCGATGACAACTCCAAAACAAGTACTCACTTGAAAGTTCAGTGAGCCAATTTGAGGACAAGAGCCAAAATTTGAGAAGGGTTTGCAGTGGATACCAAGGGTGCTTGGTTAGGCCAAGTGTCTGGAGTAGCCTGGGCCCCAAATAATTTATAACCAGCAAAGCCCCCACGACCGAGCTCCACATTGAAGAGTTAGTAACAGAATCCAAATTCAGCAGGACAGTCAACATAAAGATGGGGTTGGGGGATCATGTTCAGTGAAGTAATTGAATGAGTGAAACTAAAATTGTCTCATTACATGCAGGATACATTGACCTAGGAACACTGTAAGGATATTAAATAACTTACCTTGTTCTTTAACTCCTGAAACAAAGTCATAAGCTTGGCCAGTGTGGCTCAGTGGATTGAGCACTGGCCTGCAAACCAAATGTTCACTGGTACAATTCCCGGTCAGGGGCACACACATGCCTGGGATGTTTGCCAGGTCCCAAGCCCTGGGGGGGGGGGGGGGGGCTGTGAGAGGCAACCAACTGCACATCGATGTGTCCCTTTCTCCCTTGTCCTCCCTCTAAAAATCTTTTTTAAACAGTTTATATAAAGTCCTATCATATTCTGTGCTGAATTCAAACAGTTGTTTGCACATTTCATACTTAATATCTTAACAAAAAGTACTGTAGAAACTTGAAACTAGAAAAACTCATAAATTATGTCTCCTTAAAATTACAGAAAAACAAAAATGCAAATATGGGTAACAGAAAGGATCAGTCAAGTGCCAAAGAAAGGAGAAGAATAATATCCCCACAGACAATAAAAAGCATGCCAAAGATGTGCAGAAAAGCAATGGGATGCATCCAAAGACTTAGGAATACAGGGAAATCTCAACTTGATAAGGAATAGCTACAAAAAGCCTGTAGCTAACATCCTTCTTAGTTGAAAGAGACTGGAAGATTTGATAGATTAGAAATGAGCTAAGGATATTCACTCTTCCCCATTCTCGTAATATTTGTACTGGAGGTCCTAACCAATGCAATGGGATGGGAAAGGGAAATAAGTGTACAGATAGAGAAGGAAGAAGTAAAACTTTGTTCACAGATGACGTAGTGACATGAAGAAAGTCCAAAAGAACACTTGTAGAGCTAATAAATTATAGTAAAGTTGTAGAATACAAGATTAATGCACAAATGTTATGTCACTTCTATATACCAACAATACATGATTGAAATTTGAAAATTAAAGTAACATGTACATTAGCACCCGAAAGAATGAAACAAATCTAGCAAAATATGTACAAGAACTATATGACAAGAACTACAAAACTCTAATGAGAGAATAACTTAAACGGATTTCATGGCCATGGATAGGAAAACTCAATGTTAGGAAATCAGTTCTCAACTTGATCTGTAGATTCATAATCCAATCAAAATCCCAGCAAGTTATTTTGAGTCAAATTTGTGTTAAGCAAAAGAACCAGAATAGCTAACAGTACCAGTAGAGAACAAAGTCAGGACTAACCCTACCTGACTTAGAGAATTAATATAAAGCTACAGTAATCAAGACAGTGTGTTATTGAAATATACCCCCACAAACAGTCGACTGATACTTGACAAACAGAAGCAATACAATAGAGAAAAGATAAGTTTTCAACAAATGGTGCTGGACCAACTGGACATCCATATGCAAAAAAAAAAAAAAAAGTCTAGGCACAGCCCTGACATCCTGCACAAAATTTAACTGAAAATAGATCACAGACCTAAATGTGAAAGACAGAACAATCCAACACCCAG